GACGAACAAGCCGGGCTCGCAATCGATCCCCGCGCGACCGCGAAACCACGTGTTGAGGATCTATTACACATCCTGGCAAAGCAAGACAAACAAGCAGAGAAACAAGCTGGGAAGCTAACAACGCCATGGCTACTTGTTCCAGTATTCGGCCCACAAAAATGAACGAGTTCAAGAGTATGAAAGGCAATCTCGCTGGAAAGTTTACGTGTAAGGTTAACTCCAGCGGTGAAGTTTTTAACTCGAAGGAAGTCCATTGCATCATCTGTAAAAAGCCGTTTTCATACAGTGGAAGCATAATTTCGCTTCAGTATCACCTACGAGCGAAGCGCCCATGTACTCCGCTGCAGCAAGGACCATCCGCCAAAACACAGACAACAATCAACGCCTTCTCGTCGAGGCCCGTTTCTCTGAAAACAGAAGAAAGCATCGCACAATCCCTGACTTCTTGTCTTCCTGTTGGAAAATGTGTACAAACTTCTTTGTCTTCGGAGCTTGAGCAAAAAATATGTGAGTTTTTGAATCGTTCAACTATATGTGTCCTCAATTCTAAATATCCTTTGCGCCGTGTAACAGAGAGTAAAACAAGTCTTCAAAGGCAAGACGAGTTGTTGCTTTCTTTTTAATATATTTTATTTATAAAAATCAACGCAACCGATAAATCGATTAGTTATTCGATTGAAGGGTGATGATTAATCGGGTTAAAATTTTTAATTGACGCCCAGCCCTAGTAAAAAGTGTGTTTAGATTTTATTCACGAAGAAAAAACTCGCCGAATACACTTAAGAGTCAAGACTGCTTACTCGTAGGAACACAAAAGTATTCCTGCACGCAGTGCATTGTTAGCAGCTGCGCGTAAGTCTTCCTGTCGCACACGGCGCTCCGGAGTTGTCATTCTGCTTCCCCACTGCGCAGGCGAGGCGAACCCCGCCAGCCTCAAGACTGCTTCTGTGACGAAGCATCTGCGTGGCTGTGCTTTTCTTTGTGATATATTTCCGAGGCGCGTGCTTGATGGCGTAGTTTTATGACCTTCTTCAAGGGACAACGCCGACGGCTTTTCGCGTAATGCCTTCGGCGTTACGCGAAACCGCTCAGACGTCTGAGCCGGCAGAAGAATAATGTACACACTTCACATATTTCGGGGCTTTCAAGACAAGTTTTAGGGACTAAGTTTTCGTGGAAAGTGCCGAAGCCTCGGTAACCGTCACGCCGTCAGGTTGCTTGGTTAGGTCTTTGGGGAGGATGCATTGTTTTAAATTGTTGCCTGTACTATTGTTGTGTACGAGATGAGGACTGTAGCGTGGTTGAAGGTCACAAAGGACGTGTGAAAATTCTGGAGACGGGTGTGTTCTGTTGAGCACAACATGCGATCGTTGATTTGAGTCGAGGTCATGACGAGTTTTACCGTGGTGGGACGTCACAGAGACGTCTGTAAATTCTGGGAAACGTGTGTGAAAGATTATAAATAAACGGTGGTCTGTATAAGGTTCAGTAGTTACGTTTGGGACGTTTTGTGTTTGTCTGGTCCTTCGTCCGTCGTCTCGGATTTTTTCAAGAGTGTTTGGCCCTTCTTTATTTTAGAATAAAAAAAAAGAAAAAGGCTGTGGTGATATAAGCAGGGCGGTGAGGCTCATTCCGTTCCACACGAAGTAGGCGCTTCAGGACTTTGAGCTTCTCCGTTCACTGATTGTCACTAGGGCTTCGCACCAAAGCGGTGCCGGTGCCAGCCAAAGGCAACTCTTCAACGTGGGGATAAGGTAAAATTTAAAAAAAAAGACGCGAAAGGAGCTCTTGTGTCGTACCACACCGTTGAATCACCGCGATTTATTACTGTCGACGTTTCGCCGGCTCAATTTTATACGGCTAGCCCAGAAATTAAAATTTCGCAAAGGAGAGCTTCTCAACTTTATTCATTCAGCTGTTGAGGCAGTCGTATACGCAACAAACAAAACAGGTTTTATTTTTACCCACAATGCTATGGACCACATTACGAGGCTTGGGAAACGCTGGTCGCCCGCGGAGACAGTCTCTCAGGAACCTGCCACTAGTTCCTATTTTGACCACCAGATGGCTTCACAGATTTTTTTGAAACACTAGCGCACGAAGCGTATATCAACGAAAAAAGAAATTTCCCGAATTTTTATTCGTATTTTTCAAAGAACAATAAAGTGTCAGAGGAACTTCCGTGCCTTTGACGGTGCGTGACGGTGAGTGAAGACGTATGTGGCCTCTGGAGCAACGTCTGACGCCTGTATTTGTAAAATGCGGACAGTATCCAGTGGCGACGGAAGAGGTTGGAGGCTTGGCGGCGGCAGCGACGCGTTTTTTTCGTTTACTAGAGGCTTATGGCAATCAATCTTGTAAAACAATGACCATTATTTCTGTGCATTCAAACTTCCCCCTTTCATCCAACTGCAAAACACTTCGAACTCTTCTGGTTAATTTGTTTAAATAAGTGGCGATGGGATTTGAACACTTAAAGTTGCCCTCGCGATCTTGGTTTCCCGGGGCGCATCATTGATGGCAACTCGCCAGAGTAGCTGGACAATCCAAACTCCCTGGCTCATATAAGATGCAAAGACATCAGCGCGCGACACACCTTGAAAACTTTGCCATGGCGTCGATTCTTGATCGGTATCCAAGCGTGCGAAGGCATAGAGACGCAGCACTTCGGCGTGCCGAGAAAGCTTTGATCACGTCGCGAGACCGGACAGACTAGCGTTCGACGAGTTGTGTGGCGTTTCAATTCGGTGCTGTGGTTTCAGAAAAATTGCCCCGTTTTCTCGCAGGAATTGGCTCTGTTTACAGAAGGTTTCAAAACAAAAACAAGTTCTTCGGCGAATGACGGCGCACGAGCAGAAAACGTGTCTCCAGCACATTGCCGCCCAGCCTCTGCAGCTCTCCAAAAGGCCGAATTGCTACATGCAAGATGGCCGTTCGGAGGCCGCACTCGTTGAGCGTGGAATCGCGATCCAGCATTGGTCATTGAGATCAGTGGAATTGACCCTTCGGAGGTGCAACAGGAAACAGCGGGGTTTGGGCCGCCGGCGGGGAACTGTGAGATGGCGCTTACGGGTGGGCCAGGTGGGTTAATATTTGTTAATGAGCCATCCGGAGACTATCGTCGCTAAGCGACGTAAACGGGGAGGGGGGGGGGGGGGCTTAACGCGCCCCAGTGACACACCCACTGTCCTACATTGCGCCTCCAAAAAGAGTGACCCGAGATCAGTGGGAGACGCTTTTTTTTTAAGCTGCGTCACCAATTCGATAATCGGTACGTATTTCTATAGACTGATGCTCCGCTTGGTATTAACCAAGCTTCAATAATAGGTGCCCGTTCTCTAAAACGTGTTTCGATGTAATGGCGTTCCCTCAACTTTAACAAACCCGTTTGAGATAGTGATTAATACGGTAGCAGCAGCAAAGGGATATGCTTACATTCTGCGGCCAGAAACATATACTTTTGTTTAATCACACGTCAGATAAAGCAAAGTGAAGCCCACTTTGTGCTCTGCAAGAAGGTTAAGATTTGGCGGCACAGTAGTGATTTCACTGAGGGTACTGTCTGCCTGAGCGCCCAGGAACAGATAATCTTCACCACTCGAGTTATAGTTTACGTTCGGTGGCATACTTCTTCAAGATACTCCCCCAAACAAAGCATCAAAAGTTGGGGCTCCAGTCTACGCTCTGTAGTTGGTTGGCCATCGAGGCTGTGGTATCACCTGCAACGAGTGCCCACTGCCCTATACCGAATGCCGCCGTTGGTCTTATCGTCGTATCTTTTCTCTTTGCTTCTCTTCGTATTCACGCGGCTCCTCGGGAGTCCGAACTATGCGTGGCTTACCCATAGTGGTGCTGAGACAACAATCAAATCAGACTCCGCTTCACCTAACGTCCAAGCGCAGCGGATGTCACGAGCCATCGCAGCCAATCCAAGACCGTCTGAGTGTCACGTGACCTTAGAGATGGGGCACAACGACGCGCAGAAAGCCAATCACGGGCTACGTCCACAGAGCGGGATTATCCAGGATAGTTCATAAAAACCGCTGCGTCCAGACGTAGGGTGGAACGAAGTATAGAAAGGTTATACTGCTTCACAGCGCCCACAGAAGTTTTTCTTTTATATATAAAAGGCTAGTGACGTCACTCCCCTTCGCAAGCTGTCCTCACCGCGGCAGCTTGCGCAACAGTAATCTTTACCGTGAAACATATGCGCCGAGCGCTACGTACTTCACATTGTTTACAGGAGCGTCTTATATTTGATTACGTGTTTCGGATGCTTGTTTGATTCTTGTTCTTTATTGAAATCAATGTTCTGCTGTATGTTGTATGCGTGATGTATGTACTTTTCGCTTCAATCACCAAAGTATTTTTTTTTCGTGAAGACGCCGACACGAATCGATCGCACCAACGAGTCCTATACAGCTTCGCTGTAAAAAAAAAAAAAAAGTCAAATTTTGGGGGTTTTACGTGACAAACCAACGACGGGCATCTGGCACGCCACAGCGGAGGACTGAGGATTAATTTCGACCGCCTGGAAATTTTTTTACGTGTAACTGAAAGCTCGGTTACACGGCACCTTCTCCGCAATAAGCCTCCGTCAGATTGCGGGCACCTCGGCCGGGATTCGAACCCGCCAGATGGGGATCCGTAGGCCGGCGCTATCGCCTGGGAGCCACCGAGGCGGCGACCTTCACTGTAAAATGTATTGTGTGTAGAATATAAAAAATAAGAAAGACAAAACCATCAGAAGCTTGCCGAACAATTGCAAGATGCGGACAAGCGTGATAGGCATCAGCCATGCTGCTTGGTTGGCTACTCCCATCTCCAGAGCGGCACTTCGGCCGACACGCAGCCCCCCCTTCCGCCAGAAGTCACGGTCATCGCTGGCAAAGCTCGCGCTATGCTGGTGCACGAGACACTGCCCAGTCTTCTATTACGTCATAACCACATCACATGTCGGTGCAAGACTTTTCATCCAGTCAACGGAAAGATCGAAAACCTGACAAGCGAATCAAGAAAGTTTAATTGTCTCAGAAATGACAGGCATACGACAGCTTTGCGTTCAATCATTTACGAGCACTATCCCGGCCATTATAAATAGTTGAACAAAGTGCGATCCTTGTCTAATAAAAAAAATAATTATCTTGCTTCAATATTTGGTTGATGCTTCCAGCTTGCCAAATGCAGATTTTATGGGCCCCCATGGCTTGATACTGCATTTCGTTTACTATTACACATCAGTTGTATCCCTTTGACTAGATCCTGCGAAGACAATACTCTTTTCTGGGTGTCGATGTGAATATTCTAAGCGATTTCTGAAATAAAGAAAAGAACCATATTAGTAGAATACAAGCGAGGTTTTACATTGTGTAGATGAAGTGTGAAAGGTTTACTTACACGTTTCGCTGAAGGATGTGTCATACGACGGATTGTTTAGGATCAAAGGTGGTGATCTTCTGCGAAAGAAAGAAACAAAGAAAATATACGCTATTTCTTCAACGAGACTATTTGAACTAATGTGCGCAACAGACAGTAGACGCGGTATGTGGATCATCAGTCACATGTATAGACCTTTCGAGTTTAGATCTCCACTCGGTTCAGGTCTCCTTTTAAAGGAGCGAAATACTGATGATCACAAATTTGCTACGAAATTAATTATGGTGAATTCCGCTCGCAGACTTAGAGTGCTCCAAAAGCGCCCCTTTTCGAGCGAGCGCATCTTCCGCGTAGCAGATCCGGCTCAAGGGCGAGCCCCGTAGAGCGCTCCTGAACGAACCGGGACCGCACCGTCAAGTTCAGGAGATCTCCCCGGAAGACACAGCAGCGCTCCGCTGCGCATGCGCGTCGCGGGCCGAGTATGTCCGGTCTGGTCCGGTTGGTCATTTCTTTACGCGGGTGGTGACGGGCAGTGCGTGCGTTGCATGCATTGCGTGTTGAACGCTGCTACTTCGCGTGGTTCAGGCCGTGCAGAGGCGGGACTGGAGCGTGAAAAATTGCAAGCGCTGCCGTCTGGGATCTTGAGAGAGGTACGACAGAGAGCACGACGGCAAAATCCAAAGAAAGAAACAGACGCAAGGTTAGGCGTGTTCGTTTTGCCGCCACTCATTGTCTACCTTTGTACACTGCAAGCCACCGGTGCCTTCTTGTGCAGTAAAGCAAGAACATACCAGGCAAGCACAGTGCAAGCGATGGTTTGCTATCTCTGCGTGCTTCTAACTGTCTTACCAGCGATCTCAGCTCCGCCGCTTTCAATCACCGCGTGTTTTGCCGTTCCGGGGCGGCGTACGCGGATCTTTTCCTCTCTGTTTGCGGCATGGACCCCAAGGTTCGGCGCTCGATCTGTGTCGCTACTTCTTCTACTGGTGGACAGCAACAGTATTGATTGGTCGTCGGAGATTTCATTCAACTCGTCAAGTTCCAGCTCAGGCAAGTTCAGGCTGCGGCCATTTTGTGCTACGGACCGTCTCCTTCGGGTCGCACCGAAAATTCGACTCCATCTTCCGGTCCTTGCTTTGGAGCGGGTGTCACGGAGTGGTTTTTCTCCTCCCTTGAAGATTTTGAAAACCGATCCAGATCTACCCGTGGAATTCACTATTAGACACATTAGTAAACAAATCTAACCTAGTAAGCCAAATTGCAAATTGCAATGTTTTTATTCCATGAAGTTATTGAATTTTTAAACTTGGTTTGAGAGGCCGTTTAACGTTACTGGCATGAATAAAATATACCGTCGAATCGAATATAGGGGCAGTACAACTCGTTCTAAGCTGTTACAAAAAGTTTGATGGTGTGAAATAAATGTTGAGCAACCTCACGCCACGTAAACAAAAGAAAAAAAAGTAATGCACGAAATACTGTTCTTAGATAGCCTGCTCGAAGTTTCAAGTTATAGAAGACGTGGCACCACTTCATTAGATATCACAGGATATTTTTGTTTTGACTAACGCAATTTTGCCGGTTCCTCAAAAGCAATTTTGAGTTTAGAGATAGTAAAAAGCATGATGAGAAAAATACATTTGGAGGGCTCCGAAAATTTCTCCAGGTAGCTCGAAAAACCGCCTTTGAGGCGAAGTTCTCCTGAAATAAGCTATGGAACACATACACCAGGTATCTGACAACCGAAAATTAAATGCTAAGGTGCACTACCGCAACGCCCAAGAAACAAACAAAACTTGTAAGCGTGGTCGTTTGTAAATTTCAAAATGACTCATAATAAAACAGTATACTGAGCTCTAATGTATATGCATCTGTGCCAGAGGCGGTTTATATGATAGTGTTTTATACATAGACTCACCGCATGGCTTTCCTTCTCCTCTGGTACAAGAACCCGATGATCGCAACACCGACCAAGATGAGGAGCACTGGCACAGCAATGGCCCAGCCAGTCGACGCTGCGTGTACGAGTGAACGTTTTAATTAAAATGTTTTGCCAGGGTTCCTATTATAACAGCACTCTGAAACATCCCGATTCCCTTAAACTTGTGTGCGAATAGTAGACGCAGTTGTTTCTGCACTGCGAAAACCAACTATAATAATTATTTGGTTATTCACTCAATCACATCGTTATTATTCAATAACTCACTCGCTCACTCAATAAATGGATCGATTCCCAGCTTTTCCTTGACATGCTGTCAAATCGCTAGAACCTTCAATACAGCGGTAATGTGAGTAAAAAAATCATAAGCTGGATCACATGATACTTCTTTGAAACTCACTGCTTTTGAGTATTCACGCATTATTAATGTATTCACCATTATCACCATTATATTATGTACATGGACGGTACAATAAAGCGCAGAATTAAGGTTTGCTTCCATGTTTTGATAAAACTTCCCTAATATTGCTGACTTTCACACCTAGCCGAAAAGCTTCTCGACAATTTCAATATATTCAGATGTTCTTTGCCTTGGTTTCCTTTAGTTTGCTCTGGCGTAAGTAAGAGGGTGGGAGAAAGAAAACCATACATGGCACGGTTCACACGCCTAAATACACTTACACAACAAAAGAGTTGATTATGTTTCGTGTGAGTGTAAACGTTTAGAAATATTTTCGTGCCATTTAGTACAAAAGTGCGAGTCAAACTCCTGTCTGAAATTCTTTTTTGTCCTCATAAAAATCGAACAGTTTGAATAAGGTGGAAGACACCTTGACAAATACAGAGTGTTTGACTTTAGTTCCAACTGATTAAAAAAAAAGGTAATAGTTATACTTGTGCCGTCTTCACCATCATGCTCGGAGGATTTTAGACGAGGGGATAGTAATCGTGCTAAGTTCACTAATTTACTATTTTAATTCACTTCTTAGTTATTGTTTTATAGGTTATATACGAATTACAGCATTGACAGATATTATTGTTAAAGTCGAGATCAATTTAAATGATTTGAGAACTGTTTTTTGTAGGCAGGGATAGCAGTGCTCTTTTTGGGCAGAATTTCGAAGTAGGGAGACATACCAAGAACATTGGCTGAAGAATACCTCAAAAACCATTACTTTTTTGGTTATTCTTTGAATCACTCTAGCATCTAATTGTAATTGCCGTCGATACTGCAATTACAACGTGACACCTCAAGCGAATAATAAAATGAAGTTAATTAATATATTTTAGTCGATTAGTCAAATTGCCGTGACAATCATCACATTTAAAATTCGCCGAGGTTGATAAATACATTGTATATGTTCGATTTAAAATAGAACATTTTGTGTACATGGTTTGTAAGGCTTTACAGATTCCGTTAACAAGAGCCGTTAAGGCTACACTAATATGTCTGCGTGCAGGTGAGCTATACGGCCAGGGGTGAGAGGGGCCAAAGTGGATTAATTAATCAAAAGGAAGGAACTAAGTTTTCAAATATGAAAGATACACGAAGCTCCAACAGGAAACATGCTGATCGTCATCTAAAACTTATACTTAAGTAAATTCTAAAAAAAAGTTTGCGCGCTCTGCAAGCACGCTTGTGCTAAACTTACCACTAGTGCAACAGGCGCCAGGTGGGAAGTGGAAAAATTCGAACACGCAGGTTTTCGGTCTCTTATCATCCGTGCTTTCGCATTGAAAACCACGCGGCCGTTACACTATAGTAACTTAAATTTGCGCATCACCGTGCTTACCACGCGCGCCAAATCTTTCTAAGATTATGTACTTAAGAGTAGTTTTAGATGACGCTCAGCAAGTTTTAAATTTAAAGCGTATGTTTATTTTCTTTAATTCAAAGGTTAAATAACAAAATTTAATTTGTAACCTAATTTATCGTGAACGTTAGACCCCTCTACTATGTCCCCCTTTCTGAGGTAACTCACCTGCATAGACCGTATTAGTGCTTTAAGGGTTTTTTCAAATCCCATCTGTGGCTTACGAGAAAAACACCAAGGTCCTTTGCATTACGGACATTTTCTTTGTACCAACTAAGGTTTCAAAGCACTTTAACGGTTCTGCTAGAACACAATTGCACAGACAGCAGGAATACTGCTAGTCGCATAACTTGAAATGGCAAAAATGCCTTATGAATCTTCGGAACGTTGCGGCGCCTACGCCTGTGTCTTTTTATTTTGATCGTAAATCTTTAAAACAAATGCCTTAATTACCTTTGGACGTAACGGACGATCAAGTAAAAGAGATCCATGAAACGTCCACGTGACTAGATCTCAGAAAACCTCGGTAATCGTGCAAATGAAGTGTTCATTGTTGGAAAAATAATGAGCACATTTTGCTGCTTTCAACGTTTCGAAGAGACCCTTGAGTACATAGTCCGTCCAGTTGTCCGTGTTCAGCTCAAGGATTGAGCGAATCGCAGAGCCTGTGCAGAACGTCCGCGCACTCACAGGTCGAATGCTGCTGCAGGTCAGCCGAGCCTCTGGCGATGTTTTGGCAGCGCTCTCCCGACGCACCGTCCGGGCAGGTGCAAGTGGGTCGTCCAGCATTCACGACGTCACAGTGGCCACCATTAAGGCAAAAGGAGGCTGGGCAGTCTGATGGAGCAGATGAAAACATGAAACGTGACTGCTTAGATCAGTGAGTAGAATATAGTTAGTTAAAGTGATGCCAAACTCGCCGCTGTCGCTACGCTGATTCTCGATTTAGTGAGGAGGTTCCGACACAGCGAAGGATGGAAATTCCAACCTCGCTGTGTTTCGCTCTCTTGTACAAGCCTTGCCGACACCCCTGTTCCGCTTCATTCAAGCCCATCAAATCAGCGAGTAATATTTTTTTCCCGGGTGGTCGGCGGTTTCGCGCAAACGTCGTCGTCACTGCGTCTAGGTTTTACGTTGTCGCGAACAATGTGCATACTCAGGAAACGTAAAGTGGCGCCTTCGCCCCGGGGCGATAGTAAAAGGAGTGCGCGAAAACAGCGGCGAGTTATTGGAAGCGTGCGCGAAGCCTCCTTCCCCCTTAATTGAGCGGGAAAGTGAGCGTCCACTCCACCGTCCAGTCCAAAACAAAGACGGCTGCGTGCGCCGGAGCAATAAATGCTTATGCATTTCAAAGCGCTGAACAGATCGTTGGCGGAGAGGGGCTCTTGCGGGGAAGTTGCCTTGAGGTATGCAAGGTTTGTGGCGGGACATATATTTCGCTCTGCGTTTGCGAAATATAGGTATTACACTGCAGTATGACGAGCAGGGAGCGTCTCGAACCTTCGGACATTGTGTGCGGTACTTACGTAAGTGTAGTTGCATTAACTGTATAACGTCGGCGCAGGTTCAAAGCTGCAGTGAGCTAGAAAAAGACATGACTAAAATTTACCTATATAACATTTACGTTGTATACTCTTGACGAGGCTATAAACAAGACTGGTGGCAAAGTAACATCCGCCGGCTGTAGTGACTTCTGTCTCATGGTTATATAAGTTGGTAGAGCGCTCAGCTAGTCTTGGAGAGGTCCATGGATCAAGTCTTGGGTCAGGAGAATTTCTTCAATGGCCACCAGTCGCCTAAAGGCCTGGAGTTCCGCTCCATTTCAAATGGGAGTTTTTTTTTCGTGGATGTTTTGATGCAAAAAAACTCAGGCCGATGTTGATGTCCAGAGACGTTATAGCGAGGCACTTACTGCCGCAGAGAGACTCGTCGGATCCGTCGCTGCAGTCCACGCGGCCGTCGCAGAGCAAGTCCCGCCCAATACACCGGTCCGGGGACCCGCTGGGGCAGAAGACTGAGGATTGCTCGCACTGGTTGAGGGCGCCTGGTGAAAGAAATGGCCGCAGTTCTCTTTAAATGAGTTTTGGGGAATTTATTATTGGCTTGCACGTGTCGTAATCTTACCGTGCTGGTAAACGTCACACCCTGTAATGCTTGATAAAATATATATATATATATATTACTCTGAGCGAAATGTATGCTGTAGATTGTGCACATTCGCCGGTCGCTTTGCGCCTGTTGAACGAGTGGCAACTTAGGTGAACTTTCGTGCTTGAAGTCATTCTAAAATTGACTGATTTAGTGGCTTTCGTTGACGCTCAACAAGGCTCTGATTGGACCCACTTCCCTAATTTAAAACGTAATGAGGTGGTTCTGGTTAGCGAGCTTATCTACCGAACGTGATGATTAGCCACCTCTATTATATATTTACGTCACCCTTCGATGCAAAACTCACCTGCCCAAACTGCATTAGTGAATCCTTCAAAGATTTGCTTGTAATAAACCTGCTCGAACTAAACATCAAACGCTGTGTACATTAATATGACGGGTGTTTTTTTTCTAGGGCAGAAATTGTTCAAAAGAAGGACATTAGAAATAAAAAAAAAATATATTACTGATGAATAACGTTATCTACCATAGTGACATCGGTACAGGAGTGCAAAGAAACAGTTAGTGGATTAATTTTCTAAACTTCGCTATTTAACCAACCTCGGGCCCCGGTGTTTTTCGGGGTTTTGAGCTTTTTGCCGCCTTTGTCTTTCGTACTGCTGCAACTACCAGAATTAGACATGTAATAATTCAAAATATTTTTTCTAAAGTTTTAGTTAGATGATTCAATGAAGGACGGGCTGCAAATTTCCTTTGAAATATGCAAGTAAAAAATCATCACTTAGAATATATTAGTCCTAGAAAAACCACCCCGCATGGAATATGTCAGGGCCAAATATGGCATGTCTGTATGGCTGGAGACACTGGGTTTTCCTGTAGTGGGTTTTTTAGCACAGAAGAGCAAAGTTGTGTCCGCCCCTACAATCAACGAAGTTCATGAAAGCCGTTATCAATTGGCAGTGGCAATTCTCGACAGTTACACTATTTCAGATCCTGAGTTATGAGCTTATCCTAGTACCCTCGAAATGCAGAAAAATAAAAGAAGACATTCCCCACTTTTTTTCGGACACTGAGTTAGGACGGAAGGAAAATATTTATTTTAAAACGTCACATTAATGTTAAAGGCTGACGACCAGACTCGAAATTCTGCAAGGGAGAAGATCCTCCTCTCCATAGGAGAGGAGGAAACAGGCAACGGTGGACAGGGTAGAAGAGGGAGAGGAGGAAGCGGGCGAAAAGTGGAAAGCGCGAACTGGTCGTCGGCCTTTAAGCCAGATTGCAAGTATTCTAAGCGCTAAAGGCGACGCAGCTAAAGCGAGAGGTGTGTGGATGTACCCGACGCGTAGGCCTTTCCTCGACATCCTCTTCCTAACGTTCCTAGATAAACGCTATGGGAGGTAGCGTCAAGTCCTCCTCCCCCGTCCTCCTCCCCTCGCTCCTGTCATCTGGTAGCGCGGTCCGCCATGTTCTTCCTAACTCGCCCACCATGGCTGTGTTCGAAATCATTCGAGTTACTCCGGTGGGTCATGTCACGCGGCAATCCAGATAGAACAAAGCTGGAGGCGGGTAGGGTTTCAAACGCCAAGGTATCAAAGCGTTACTCGAGAGTGAGGTCGAGTCGAACCCGCAATGTTCTTTCTAACCGCGAAACGGAACGCGGGCACGGACCAGTGGGAGAGCGCGTCGGCACATCAATCGCTGTCGCTACTTAGTCAAGCGCTAATCGAAGGACTTTGCATCTTCCGCTCCCTGTTTTGTTATCATTTCTCTTTTCTAAGAATGAAAATGCCCGACGATGATACGATGCAGCTGGACTGAGATGCGAAATCAACTTGGCAGCTGTACAACTCTGCGAAAGCTGCCCTTTTGAAAAAGCGCTTTTTTTTCATTTTTCTCTTTCTTTGTGACATCTAATGTCAAGGTGTTCTCACAAAGAAAGTATTTCACGCTTTAAAAACAGTTCCTACGGAGACTACAGGCTTTCTCCATTCCTTATCTTTCGGCTCCAGTCACCCCTAGCGACGTACTGTACACACCAGCACGTTGTTTACAAACAACCACGTGTCCCCACACAGCTAAGTGTAAGCACCCTGCGTGTGGAAAAGTCATATTTGCCTTGCACGATAAAGCTGGGCATTCTCAGTGACGCCAGCAACGGCACAGAAGTGGCGTGACGTCAGAAAGCTGGGTTGGTCTATAGCCCACCCCTCCATTACGGAGGTGGCCGAGAGACCAACAAACTTGTCTTTGAAACAGGCCCGTGTTTGCTCCCATCAGGTTCGGGGCAGTGCGCCCGCACAGGAACCGTACCTGCTTAAAGGGGTACTCCGGCGCTTTTTGTAGCTACCTCATCTTACTATATGCGTTCCGGTGTACTATTTACTATATACGTTCCGGTGTACCAGCCTTTACTCGTTCCGGTGTACTATTTAGTATTGCGAAACTCAGAATAGTTATGGTGGAACCGGTAGGTGAAAAATGATGCCAAAACTAATATTCAACTTTAGTACTCGCGCTTTTCAGTGCCACGGTGACGTCAGGGGTCGAGCAGGCAGTCTAAAAATGGACTATGTCGAGCATCTGTTTTGTGCTGCTGCGAGGGTGCTGAAGCCAGCGTGCATGGGATTAATTCGACACCGTGAAACTGCTTGTAATCTGTTGGGAAGAAAGTCTACACTCCAAAGAGTGAACCCCAGAATTCCCCTGACGCCACTTTTTTATAGCTACCAGTACTTTCATCTTTAACAACACGGTGAGTACCTAAGTTCTACATTCAATAACTTGGCGAAAAATATTATTTTGGTGTAACATTTGGGGCACTAAATTTTGGCGATGTTTGCTTGCGTGTTTAGCAAATTTCAGGAAAATCGGGGACTATGAATGTTTTTTTTTTCTATCTGGTTAGGACAGGCATGAGTCAACATAAATGATTGTAAAAACAACGATGATTGCACACTATTTATGGAGCATCACGAGTTTTTTATTTAATTTGCGAGCGAAACCGAAATTTTACCCTTGGGGATGATGATGATAGCGTTTATACACAACAAGTGTGTGCTGTGATTTCGCTGGACCTCAGAGCGCACACTAGTTAGGTACAAACATAGCGCTATGTAGCTTTTGCGGAGCAGAGCAACGCAATCATTCGATCCGCGTTTTTCGCCGACAACATGGCCGACAGAGTAGCTCGTCGCGATACACGTGGTACCCACGGTTCCAGGATGCGCCCGCTTTAAGGAAGAACACATGAAGAACGACGCAACACGACTGATTGAAAAGTAAACACCGAGTTCTACTTTCCGAAACTAGTCTGTTGTGAAGTTGGTGAATTTCTAAACATTTTTCAAAGTTTTCATGACATAGGATGCGTGTGAAAATTTTAAGAATGCAATTTGCAAGGCAATGGCGTTTGAAGCAGACTATTTTTTTTCTTACGCAGCGGAGATAGAGTTTTTGGGTTTGACGGAGCGCGTCAGGTGAACGTTGTGACGTTGCCACGTTGTCTGCTGCATGATGCCGCTCAAGCAATTTTTTTAAGTGTACTTTCGCACGTGGCACATGACTTAGCACAAATTATTGTAATATGTTTCTTTATTATATCAAAAACTATTGTCGTTCCGTATATCCTCGAAATATTGAAGAAAGAACGATTTTGTCGCGTTCCTCAAGCATTTGTTACCGGAGTTGGAACCTCCGGGTGCGCACCGCTAGTTGCCAAGAGATGGCATTCTAGATTGCGCTACTCTGCTCCGAAGGAGCTATATAGTGATCTAGGTACAAAACCTCTCATCATCATCACACACGAGTACAACTTAAATTTCGCTAGCATATCGAAAAATTTGTATTTTTGGGATAAATCTTGGACAAAGAATTCCTTTTGACGAAAATTCGTTTTGAGACATGCCTTAAATTAGGGTGAAGACATAAATCAATTAAAAATATTATGTCTCTATCAGTAGCTCCTGGCAAGGCAGAACCAATTTAAATTGACACATGCCTGTCATAACCAGGTAAATATTTTTTTCCTAGGTTCAGTGTTCTTATAAGGCCAAGTGACTGTCCATGTCTTCTACTGGCAGCAGCGCCACCACACCGGTGTGACGTCAGAACTTGGTGTTGATAATATAGAATGAGAAGCAAAAAGGGTCGGGGAACTCACCGCACTTTTCGTCCAGCCCGTTGGGGCAGTCCTTCACCCCGTCGCAGAGCAGAGCCGACGGAATGCAGTGCTCGCCGTCACGGCAGTTGAACTCTCCGGGGCGGCACGCGAGGACGGGTGGCGTCCGCGGTTCTGCCGATGTGGTGCTCACGCTTTCGCTCGTTGCTTCTGACGTTGTACTTTCAACGATAGGGGCTGCATAGAAGGGCATTGCGGAACTACGAGCTCAGCGGATTCAAACAATCGAGAGAACGAACCGAACAAAGATTGCACTAAACGGATGAGCTACTGAGGCTAATACATTTTTATTTTAGTAAAAAAATCAACAACAACATGTTATACTGTATCTTATGTGGGCAAGGACGCACACAAAATATTGGGAAACTTTCCACGATACCTAAAGAGAGTACCATTTTAAACGGTTTTTCTGGAAGTTTACTCTAGTTGGTTTGGATACTATACGGCATAAGGACACTACAAGTCGCAAGGACACGTAACGTTCAATGTTCAACGCTCGATACCATCGCAGGATGGCTCAATTTTGTGTAAATCGTTTTAAAACAAGTAATTTTGTAACGGCTCTGAAGGCGAAAGTAGAGATATCGTCTTGACATTATTTTAACAGCTTTATCCTTCCCTCGAACAATGCCTGGCTTCAGAATTTCGGCTTTGACAACAATAAATGAGCGTGTCTTTCTTACGCTGCGCAGTCGCTCGACCGTGCGCATAAATATTAAAATCTGGAGCGGCAGATTTTTTTTTTTCATATACGTTTTCCTTGGCGTAACAGTTGGCCCATTCAGAACAATGCTCTGCAATACGGGTCGCTATATATAACTCTATATGAGGCTAAGCTTTTTTCGACTCAAAGGGAAAGACGTTTTCATGAACGACTTCAACGAATAACCTAAGATGAAAAAAAAAGTTTTTGTGTTAGAGTTGTTAAGTATATCGTGTTTCAGTAGCAGCGCTTTATGTAGATGGAGTGCAGGATATGTCAGATGTGATATTTAATACATTCACTGAACTGAATTGGTTTTTGGTGATAGTTTTCGGCATCGCACTCGGTGACTATTTTTGCCTTTGTAGTGATTGTAAGTCGGTGTAATAAACAAAATATAGCAGTAAAAGCGTTCTCCGTTATACATCGCCGTCACCGTACTATGCAATCACCACTTTTTGGTAGGCGGTCACCGATTTAACATAATTTATTAGTTTCAAATGAACTTCTCTGGTTCGTCACTTTTATTAGAAAATAAAGAAATATATGAGATGCATTAATAGTGCACAACTCAGCAGAAGAAAACCTGGATTTCAAAACACAACTTAGGACATTTTTTTCTAAACAGTGAAATGCCAAAAAAAATGTCAGATACTTTGCTTGCAAAGTATCTGGCATTTTTGCTTGCAAAATAGCAATAAATTTCATATGTTAAACATTGTTAAATCGCGGTTTTTTAAAGTTAGCTGTAAATCTGACCAATATTAAAGACCGCGTAAAAACTGTTGAATTATGTTTTTTTTAGAAATTGAGGAAACCATTTTTTTAAGGACTTGCCTGTTTTCGTTGGAGTCGTATCTGTTGACGATGTTCCAGAATCAAGTGTAGTCAAAGGAACTACAATAAACACACAATTAAACAAATAAAATATTAAGAAAATTTCTAGAATCCTCATAAGATTGAAAGTGTTTTAGTGATGCAGTGATCTAGCAACAACATAAATGTGGAAACCAAAATATTTTACAATCCAGTGATATAAAGCAAACAATCAATAAATTCTTAAATTATTGACTAAAGCGCGCCCTTATCTGTGAAAAATGTATTAATTTATTTAGCCAGCAGCGCCCGCATGGCATCGCTGCAAGAAAGTGATACAGGTAAAAATCCATACACACATACAGGTATAAATATAACTCAATTATGGACAGAAATATACAAAGAAATAAGAAAGAAATATGCCGGCGCACTGTAAGTATGTACAGTCGGGGACAAAAGTCCCCAGGACGCGCGAGCTGCGACTGAAACGCATTGCTCTGCTATCTGCCGGCGGGTCGCCTGGTTTCGAGATTTTACAAAAGCGCATGCGCGTCCTACTGTGCCCGCAAACATGTGTGTTTTTTCGCTCTTGTGCAGCGCGGCGCCTAACTCAGAATCGGGCGCGTGGTATCGCCTATGAGATAGCGCTTAGTGACATGGCACCTATAAAGCAAGAAGTCCCGGCAGCTCAAGTGAGTGATAAACTCAACTAATTATAAACAAGGAACGCTGACACGGCGAAATGCGGCACAATGCCGCAAGCGGTAACTCCAGTTTTGGAATGTTTAGCAGACGCTCGTCAGCCGCAAGCGCTATATCTGAGGCGGTACCACGCGCCCAATTCCGAGTTAGGCGCCTCGCCACAGAAAAGCAGGAAATCACACATGTCTGCAGGCACAGTAGGACGCGCATGCGCTTTTGTCTGATCTCGAAACCAGGCGACCGGCCGGCAGATGGCAGAACAATGCGTTTCAGTCGCAGCTCGCGCGTCCTTGGGACTTTTGTCCCCGACTGTACATAAATTAATGAAACTGAATATGAAGGAAAACAATTGCAGCATATAAAAAAAGAGCAATATTAAATTTCATTGAAGGAAATAAAAAATAAAATGTTGTGTGGTAGTATCAAAACAATATACTCGGCAGCCGATTTCATTCTTGAAATGTACGTGGAAAACGCCATTAGTAAAATTCTCCAATAGCATTCTCTCATTTAGCAAGAGTGGCGCGGCCTTTATCGAAATAATACATTTCATAATATTAAAGATAGCACAAACGCAGTGAGTAAGAGAAGAAAACACAGAGCGGTGACTTCCAACTAATCTATTGTGAATTAAAGATGCACACGAGGCATCAGAAAGGAAACACGCATCGTAAAAACGGGAAAAAGCAGCGAGAGATGGATGCGCTGCTCAGTAAAGGGAAGTAAGATAAATTAAAGAAAAACAAAAGCGATAGACCAATTATACTCAAGGAAAGAAGAATGAAACAGAAAAAAGTAAAGAAGAATCAAATGCAGGGCCGGCTAAAACCAATTGTTGTAGACGTTGGCTAAGAAGGGTACTTCCTTATGACTCAAAGAGAGCGATAGGTGGCTCGCACATAGCTGGGAAATATTTTGAATATTGCCGCGCCCAGGGCTGAGAAAGCAACGCTCAGTCACGGACCTCCAGAAAGTTCTCGTTTATTCATGTACCGCATGTAACTTCTCTCATTTATTCCTGCTTTTGTTTTCTAGAAAGTGCGTGTTCATTCTCGCCCGATCACGCGACGCTCGAGCCGCTTTCGCCGAATCTTCGAGATAGCGACGCACTCTAGATAAGAGGCCGCCCGCGACCTTGTCGAGTCAGTTTCGCCTCAGCGTTCGACCTTGCTGCTTCGCCGCCTTCGACGCCCGCGACGCTCTGTTGTTATTTTTCTATTTCCTTTTATTTTTGGCACAAGTTCGCCACATTAAACGTCTATTTCTTTCTGTGTATTTATTGTTTCTTTTGGTCACCACCCGTGACATTTTGGTGGAGGTGCGGGGTACCGCATGCCCCTGCCGCGTACCCCTCCGAGGGCCCGCAGTCCAAGTCCGACGCCTAGTCCACGAAGAACCAACGAAAGCACTTCCGAGATCCGGTTCAGTCGTCGCACCCAAGGCCTACACCCGGAATTCGGACCTCTGCCGCCCAAGACTAAGCAGCCAACGAGACCAACGATGGACAGCCAGTCGTCGCAGAACCCGTCCACCGCCAGCGTCGTCGTCCTGCCCGTCGCACCCCGGACTCCGACGCCTTTCCACGGGGAGATCCACGAAGACATCGAAGACTGGCTGCGACACTACGAACGTGTAGCCCGCCACAACGGATGGACGACTGAGCAGTGCCTCCACAACCTTTACTTCTCGCTTGAAGGCACTGCGAGGCACTGGTTTGAAAACCACGAAGCCTCCTTCCCCACATGGGAGTCCTGCGTCGCCGAACTCAAACGAACATTCATCAACCGCCATCGTCGCCAGCGAGCAGAGGACCTGCTTCAAACAAGGGTGCAGGGCCCCAATGAAAGCCTGACCAGCTTTGTAGAGGATGTTCTGCGTCTAAGTGCCCGAGCAGACCCGGAGGCCGCTGAGGAAAAGAAACTTCGAATCCTCATGCGAGGCGTCAAGGCAGAAATTTTTGGAGGCCTGGTTCGCAATCCCCCGACGACCGTCGATGCATTTGTGAGTGAAGCCACGAACATCGAGCGCGCACTGACGGCCCGAGCAAGCCACTACCACCGACTCGCCGGCGCGCCTACTTCTCCAACCGTCGCAGCTACACTTCCGGACCTGAGCACCACCGGTGTCGACAGCCTTCGGGATATCGTCCGGGATATCGTCCGGGAAGAGCTCCGGAAGATTCTACCTGCTGCAGATCGCCCAGCCTCACTCTCACTCGCCGACGTCGTCCGAGAGGAAGTTCACCGAGCTTTCCATCCCGAGGTTGCCGTCACCGCAGCAGCACAGCAGGAGCCAGCCGTAAGCTACGCCGAAATGCTCCGCCGAGCACCATCAGCACCGCGTCCGTACATGGCGCCTCCCGGACGTGTGCTTCCAGAGCCGCAGCATTCCCGACGCCAGGAAGATCGGGCACACGTTCGTCCAGAACAAGTTGCGCCAAGGAAGACCGACGTGTGGAGGACGGCTGATCGACGCCCGTTGTGCTACCACTGCGGGGAAGCCGACCATATCTACCGACGATGCCCCTACCGCCAGCTCGGCCTACGAGGGTTCGCGCCCAACGACCCTCGACCACGTCTTGGAGAGCGACCTCGGGACATCGAGGACTACCTCCGCCGCTCTTCAACTCCTGAGTCGTCTCCCCGCCGAGCATTCCGTTCGCCATCTCCCCGACGCTCGCCATCACCCTTCCGCCGGTCTCGCCGAGACAGCCTGTCACCCATTGCGTCCCGTCGGGAAAACTAGGCGCGGCAATGCCGGGAGGTGGTGTTGCCGAAGACGAACGATGCCAAGAAGGCCATCCGCAGATTCCTGGGGCTGTGCGCGTACTACAGGCGCTTCGTTCAAGATTTCGCAAAAATTTCGGCGCCCCTCACACATCTTACGAAAGACGCCGTGAAGTTTCACTGGGCAGAAGAACAAGAACGGGCGTTCGACGAACTGAAACAAAGACTTCAGACACCTCCGATCCTCGGACATTTCGACCAGCACGCCGAAACCGAAATTCACACGGACGCAAGTAACTCCGGCCTTGGTGCGGTATTGGTACAGCTACAGGAAGGCACGGAGCGAGTTATTGCCTACGCAAGTCGGACACTGTCAAAAGCGGAGAAAAATTACTCCACGACGGAAAAAGAATGTCTCGCGGTTGTATGGGCGATCACAAAGTTTCGTCCGTACATATACGGGAACCCGTTCCGGGTGGTCACAGACCACCACTCGCTCTGTTGGCTTGCAAACCTCAAAGACCCTTCAGGACGCCTGGCTCGATGGAGTCTTCGACTGCAAGAATTTGACATGACCGTAGTCTACAAGTCAGGACGGAAACATAGCGACGCCGACTGCTTGTCCAGAGCCCCCGTCGAAACGCCAGACTGTACCGACGTGGATGATGACGAGTGTTTCCTAGGTGCCGTGGACACCAACGACATGGCAGGACTTCAACGAGACGATCCGGAGCTCCGCGCCCTGATTTTGCATCTAGAAGGACGAGGAAGTACCGTTTCTCGTGTCTTTTCACGACTCCTGCCGACCTTCGCTATTCGAAGAGGTGTACTTTATAAGAAAAATTTTGGAACCAGTAATTCGTCGTGGCTTCTGGTAGTCCCCACCAGCCTTCGAGAAGAGATTCTTCAAGCCTGCCACGACGACCCAACTTCAGGACACCTCGGTTACAGCCGAACACTAGCCCGAATACGTGAAAAATACTACTGGCCCAAGCTGCCGAAAACCGTCCATCTCTACACGCGATCGTGCCATGAGTGCCAGCGACGCAAGAAACCGCCGTCAAAGCCAGCAGGTCGCCTTCAGCCGATTCCCCCTCCAACCAAACCGTTCCAGCAAATTGGAATGGATTTGCTGGGCCCTTTTCCACCGTCGACCCTGGGAAACCGCTGGATAATCGTCGCCACAGATTATCTTACGCGTTACGCCGAGGCGAAAGCCCTTCCTTCGGGGACTGCTGTCGAAGTCGCGAAGTTCTTCATAGAGTCCATCGTCCTCCGGCATGGCACCCCCGAAGTCCTGATCACAGACCGAGGGTCATCGTTCATGGCGCAGTTAACCCAGGAGATCCTTCGTCTAAGCCAGACGGACCACCGTCGGACAACTGCATACCATCCGCAGACAAACGGGTTGACGGAGCGGCTCAACAAGACCATCGCCGACATGATCTCCATGTACGTCGACGTGGAGCACAAGACATGGGACGAGGTATTGCCATACGTCACATTTGCCTACAATACGGCCGTACAAGAGACCACAAGAGTGACGCCCTTCCAGCTGGTGTATGGCCGGAAGGTGACGACTATGCTAGACTCTATGTTGCCGCACGATCCAGTCGACGACGGAAGCGATGACGCCCAGGTGGTTGCTCAACGGGCAGAAGAGGTCCGCCAACTGGCAAGACTACGAATTCAAGACCAGCAACATGTCGACGCCGGCCGATACAATCTTCGCCGGCGTGACGCCCACTATCAACCCGGAGACCGGGTATGGGTGTGGACACCAATACGGCGCCGCGGTCTCAGCGAGAAGCTTCTCAAGCGCTACTTTGGACCCTACAAGGTGCTTCGCCGTCTCGGGGACTTAAACTACGAAGTCCTTCCCGACGGAACCCGCCCATCTGCAAGACGTCAGCCGCGACCCGAGGTAGTGCACGTCGTCCGGCTGAAGCCGTATTACGAACGATAGGACTCTCCACTCTCGTCGATGAGTGAACTGTGGACTGTGAACTCCGGCTAGCAATTCTGCTGTCCTTTTGTTTTTTTGTTTTCCGTTTTTGTGCTGCATCGGGACGATGCACTTTTAAAGGGGGGGATAATGCCGCGCCCAGGGCTGAGAAAGCAACGCTCAGTCACGGACCTCCAGAAAGTTCTCGTTTATTCATGTACCGCATGTAACTTCTCTCATTTATTCCTGCTTTTGTTTTCTAGAAAGTGCGTGTTCATTCTCGCCCGATCACGCGACGCTCGAGCCGCTTTCGCCGAATCTTCGAGATAGCGACGCACTCTAGATAAGAGGCCGCCCGCGACCTTGTCGAGTCAGTTTCGCCTCAGCGTTCGACCTTGCTGCTTCGCCGCCTTCGACGCCCGCGACGCTCTGTTGTTATTTTTCTATTTCCTTTTATTTTTGGCACAAGTTCGCCACATTAAACGTCTATTTCTTTCTGTGTATTTATTGTTTCTTTTGGTCACCACCCGTGACAATATGATAGGCCTCCAAAATTAACATGCTTTGCCAATCTCACGATCTCCCTAATGTTATGAAGCATGGCACAAGGCGCAAAAAACAACGGACACAAGGAAGAAAACAGGTGCCCGTGTGTGTCTTCTTCCTTGTGACCGCTGTTTTTACGCGTTGCACCATGACTGATTACGTTCACCAACTAGCACAACTGTAAGTTCTTGTCCCTATTATTGTTATGTTTTTCTCTTTCTCACTTCTTGTGAGGAATAAAAGAGAATCGTCCCCTCCTCATAACTGCTTGTGCGCTGTTTTTACTATTTGGTCATCTTAGTATCCAGCTCAACTCTTCACTTTAACACTCGGCGGATACAAAGACTCTGCTTCTTTTGTCCATTCTTGTTTTCTTTGGGTAAATGATACGCATTAGCTTTAACCGAAGACATTTTCTATGAAAGTATGAAAACTCCAATTGAACGCAATTTTTGATGGCCTCTAACGGTTCAAATGCAATATCACACCACTGTGAGATACTGCCTTTTGGTTTTGGGGTGATGGGTGGACGAGTGTGTTAGCGCACCGCAGTCATGGACATGCGAAGGGAAACGTAGTGCTGCAGAACAGGGTCATGCTGGATTCAATCCGCACCCTTGCATCCGTTTAGATCTAAATGAGCATCTTATTGCCCTGTTGTCGTATATGACACCTGCGTGATGCACGTTACAGACTAGCAGTTGTACTCCACTGAATAAATTTCTCACCTACAGTGTAAATCAGTGCCGTTGTACCTCAAAGAGAGATCAAACACACCATGTGAACACGAACGTCAAACATTCTTTTATGTTTTGTTGTAGCATGCTTTGGCGCATAGGCAAGTATTTAATGATTTCAAACAAACCTTCAGTCGATGAAACGCTTTCTCCCGAACATTTTCCAGAAAACACTTCAATGTCGTCAATAGCAATGTCGCTTTTCCTCTTGCTGCCAGGAATTCCAATGATGCGGACCTGGAATAAGAATGTTTAAGCTCCCAGCAAGCTTCTATGAACGACGAATCCAAACAGGCAAACACACATCTAGTGAACACTCAATGCAGTATCGTGTAACCTGGTGTCCTCACGTGATTTGGTCACGTGAAACGATCACGAAACTCCAGCTGAATTTAGCAGGGCGTTGTGGCGCCACGTTGGTCGCGTGATCTCGGATAATACCTGAGCCCATGATGCAATTTTTTTTACATTTAGCCCCGAGCCAAGAAAATAGAGTTAATTGCAAGGCGCAAATTGAAAATATGGCTAGAAATAAAGGACAATACCAAAGTCTAAATTTGGTGTTGCTCAGGCGTGATAAAATATTTGTTTAAGATATCTGCGTGCGTGTAAATTCAGACATAACACTTACCATCTTGCAGAACACGCAACTCAAGTTTAAGGTATAAGTAAGGGAACAATAGAATTCTATTGGACACAGCCAGGACAGAGCTGTACAGTGGAATGTAATACGCGATTCAATATGAGTTACCTTTTAAACGGAAGAAATTATTGAAATTAGCAACTGGCAGGTGCACACAGAAAACAACAAGTAAGCTCATGGCTTTGTGGTGTTATATCAGATGATGAGTACGAAATAATTTGCCCAACATTGCTTTCAAATATTTTGTTGATAAATCTAGATTGTCTTATCACGATTAGTCAGACTAAACACCTCCTAGACTGGTGATGTAAAACACAATCACACTTATGCATGTTTAATGTCTAGGCAAAGTGTGTGAAATAAAAATGGTGATAGGCGTAAGGGGCAAAATAATTGCTTACTCTGTAAATGGATGGCAGTTTTACAACGTCTTGCTGAAACAACGTCCAATTATTTTTTCCAGGTGCCTGGAGCTTATATCCGAATTCACTCTCTCCGGAGACATCCAGGAAGTGGACAGTGATCTTGGCATCACCTTAAAAAAATAGTTTGTTTACTGTGATTGTTTCTTAAATAAGTGAAGTCACTTTTAAGCCGCATTCTAGTGCAAGAGTGGGAAGTTTAAAACTTCAAAATGCAAATCACTGACAGAAGGAGACGGATTTTGAGATACTTTGGACGGCGGACCTATCTCTGTCTTTCTGTTATTGTGAGCACGTTCATATCAGTTTGGTAAATTAACCGAAATAAAGATTATTTCAAGGACGGTATATGACTTTCATAGCATAAAATATTACAATTAATATTAATGTCTTCAAAGCTAGAAGGTGTTTGAAGCTGCCGAAAAGAAACACACTTGAAAATAAAGATTAAAATCCCTAGAATATCTCCTGATGTATCGCTGAAAGATTTAGCAAGACAAAGCTTTATTCCAACAGTTCTTTTTATACCTTTAAGCAAGTGCTCTTGAAAGGAATAATATTGCATTTTTGTCCGATTTTAATTGTAACATTTGGGTTAAATTCGTAGTAGGGAGTGTGAGCAGAATATAGTTTTGTAGGAAACAGACAGACACAATAATGCAATACAAATAATCACATATATCCTAACATGCTGGCAGAAATAGTTAACCACAACAAAGTTTTGCGATGCTTTATTTCTTCAAATTTGGCATGTGAGGTCAAATAAGCAAAAATGTTTTGTCCCAAGAAAATACCTGTTTTTGTTTATTTTATTTTTTTAATTTCAACACTGACATTTCAAAGTTGAAGATATAACCCTACATAAATTTTCCGAGGAGAAAGCAGTTTTTGCTTTTTCAAACATGACGTTCCACAGTTAAAGTAATAAACCACACGAAAATTCTGTTGTATCAAAGTAGTTTCGTAAGTACATTAGGCTACAGAAAATGTATTGTGTTTATCCATGCCTGTCCCTCCAAAAGTGGCTCCTTATCTCGGACAGTATACACGCATCTAACTAAAACGCCACATTTTGCAGCAGACAAATATAGAATATTGCGTCTGACAACCATCCTTGCTAAAGAAAAAAAAAGAAACATTTGTTTCTCCGAGAAATTTTAATGATGTCTTTATATTGGAATAAATTTGTTGCGCTAAACCTCTTTGCGATACATTGAATTACACCCTTGGATCCCAGCTTTCATTCTGGCGTCATATTTGACGTTGCGCTTTAAAGTGTTAGGTTACAGGTCTGCAGGCAAACTCACTTCCCTCATCCATATGGTAGAACATTCGGAAGCAAACATTGGGGCCATAGCTGAGAAGCTCGCTGTCCAAGACGCCTATTTGAACTTTGGCCAGATCCTGTGCGTCCAGGAGCAAGTAGTGGCCTGGAGAAAAAAGCAAAGTAAATATTTTGCAAAAATTCCGAAGGCCGTGCCCGAACACCAGTGCGCACCCTTGTCATCACAGCCTATACCACGTGGCACTGACGAGAGGAAGTTAAGAGGATGAAGTTTCCCTGCCCACATTTGCACCCGTCGGCCTTTATGTGCTCTATTGGTGACCTGGCGATGACTTGGGCATATCGACGCACGTGATGCCCGTCTCGACAAGTAATAAATAATCCCACCAGACGATCAATAATGTGTTTGTTGATATGTTGTGCTGTTGCAAGAAAGATGAGGTTGAAGAGAGCAACGAGGCGACGTTTCGAAAGGCCGCGGCAGCAGGAGATGCGTTTTCATAAAATGCTATCCTGGATATGACGGTTTAATTGGTAGATCGAAATGCAACTGCCATTTTTATTTCTGCTGGAACCACAACATTCGTGCAAGAGGAGATTGTTTTTAACTGTTCACGAGAGTTTTAGCCTATGACGGGTTGCTCTTAACACGTGATAGCCTTATGTACAGCCAGTTCTGGTAGTTGAAGTGCACACACTTCATGTGACGTAGCCCTAGACCAACTTTTCGTTTGGCGATAATGTAATTGTAGTTATATAAATGACATGTGATATAACTCTCAGCCGAATGACGGTCTTTTTATCCTTGTTGAGAGACTCACATTTTTATACCGTGTTGATTGATCATCAGCGCAGTATCTGCAGAAAAATTCGAGGATTTGGTTGGAATTGCTTTTTTGATATAAATTTGCATTTGTGTTGATAGAAAGATTTAGAGGATGTCGTTCTTGAATGCGTCTTTATTTGCCATTTTTAGGGCATTCTTGGCTAATTCTGCATATAAGCCCACTTTTGTTGCTACGCAAGGCATGCTACGTACTTCCCGGCAACGCCAATGAAAATGGGGCCATAACCAGTATAGAAACGATTTCCCATTTTAGAGTGAGGTAGCGTCCCATATTGTATAACTGGCAAGTCGAGCAGACATTGTAAAAAACACAGCACTTCGTGCATTGTTTTGTATTGCTCACGTGAGCTGCCCCAGCTTTCATTTCACACCAACAAACCTCGTAGAACCCGTCAGGAACGAGCCCCACTGCCCGTTATTACATGGCTTGATGCTAACTCTTTAGCCTTTTTAACGTATTTTATCTAGCCGCACCTAGCCTAGATACATTTGACGTCACGTTTTTAGTGTTTCTAGTAGACATCTCAGCCTCTCAGATTAAAAGTAAAAATTTAATTGCTTTGAAAAAACGATATATCGTGGTTTGTTATTTCTGGTATTCAGATTTTTTATGTGCTGAGGTAGGTTTCAAAATAAATCTTCGTCGAAAAAAAAAGTTGTGGGCCCAATATTTATGTTACACAGCAATTCTTGCGATTTTGGGGCGAAAACGAAAATGTACCTCTCTGGGATGGTGATGATAGCGTTTGTACTGAGTTTGCTGGACCTCAGAGCGCTCACTAGTTGGGTACAAACGCTTTCATCAACATCCCACACGGGTACAATTTCGGTTTGAACCTCAAACCGAAAGATTCCTGTTGTAACATAAATAATCGAGAAACAAATTTTTTTTTTCGACAAGCATTCACTTTAAGACGTGCATGTCCTAACCAGGGAGACATTTTTTTTTCTCCCAGGTTCAGTGTTTTTTTTTCTGTTTTTTTAGGTGGTAAATACACTTAAGTACATAAAGAAAATATTGTAACACTTGAAGAAACACGGAATTCTATAACTATTTTGCACCTGGGGAGGACACATCTGTCAAAAAATAAATCTCCAGATGAGAAAAGATGGCGCAATATTTACGCCTTGAGACACAGAAATAGGAGCGAAACCTAAACTAAAATTTGTTTTGAGGTAGATGTTTCGAAATAGAGTTTAATTATGTTTATACCTTACGCTAAATTTGTCTCCCAGTGTAAATATTAGGCTAAATTATTTTTATTTTCGGATAAAAGTTACTTTGTGACTTATTTGTACAGTCCACGAACTAAACGTGATCGTCTTGTCATGTTTCGGAAAATCAACAATTTCTCTCCTTTTCTTAAGAATTACTCTCAACCATCCTCTCACACCAATTTGCGTCAGGACCAAAACTTAAAAGTAGGTCATCGTTTTGCTAGAACTAATAAACATTGAAATTTTCTGTTTTCGCAAGCTATTATTGACTGCAATGATCTTCCTGAAACAATAGTACTCTAGACAAATCAAGCTCTATTAAGTGATGTTTGCAAGACACATTTCACTATATCTTATCGTTAATCAAAATATTTATTCAATATCACTTACTTTTTCTCATTTTACTGTATTGTTTTAACTTTTACTTGTAAATATGTGTCTTGTTCGTAACCAATTAACTCGTAAATATTCACTGTTAATTGCTGTACTAGGTCCCCATCATGTAGTATACTTCATTGAAGGGGCCTTAGCATTATCAAACTGCAGTTAGTGAATTTAGCCGAACTGAAATTCAAAGGTCCCTCTAAAGGAGCCGTGCAAGGATATTGGGTAGGTTTTTTTTTTTTTTTCACTTTACACGATCTTAAGGGGGCGCTAGTGGAACCCAGGTATAATCGGATGCAACGCCCCAGAGCAAAAAACTTTTTTTTTTTTGCCGCACAATTTTACGGATAAAACTGAACGTTTTTTTTTTTTTTTTTAGTCTCATTTACAAAACACGGTGAAGTTGTCGGGATTGCATTGCCAGCGCTATCAACAATACGATCCCCGGGATTTCGTCATGAAGCTTTGCGATTCCCGCGGTGCCAATATTTCACAAAATGGACACGAGCACTGCGTGAGCATTCGATTCGGGCACGCGACAATCAATACCTCGACATGCGTCCGGAAAAAAAGCTTATGAGCAATCGCTGCAATAACGGGAATATCCGAGCCGTAACCATGTGTGAAGCTCAGCGCGTGTTTGTGCTTGGCCAACCCCAACGCGTGCGTGGCTATGGTAAGCATTGCTGGCTTATGATCCGGTTCGAGGTCACGTGGTCTCTCATTCTGGCTGCGAACTGAGAGAGTGAACGCCGCTCTTGTTCCTCGAAATACTTCTGCAAGTCCCATCGGGTGGATGGAACATAACACTAACGCGTGTTCTCTAGGTTCTTTCCAAATGTTCAGGAATTAGTTTAGGTGGTATTTACTGAAAGTTAAAAAAAGAGTGATACATCATCCTTTTAAAGTAAAGGAGAACGGCGATAGGCTCCCATGCGTTGAAGGACTTGCCTTTTTCAGTCTTGAGAGTGTGATCAACCGAAGGGCCGCCAGCCGACATGGTCGGACCGCTGTTCCGGTACCAGCGCATTGTATTGCTGTTAGTTCCAAAGTTTCTCCAGTTGCAAAAGTCCTCCTCAAACTGGCAGCTTCCGGCAGGACAGCCGTAAGGGTCGATCACGACGTCGTCCACGGCAACGGCCGCGTCCGAATTACCAGATGTGGATCCCGTGAATACCGCCTAATGTCAAGTAAGGAATAAAAAAAAAGAAGTCAAAGTTGGGATTTTGAGGCAAATATAAGCATCTGGTAATAGAAAAATGCACGTGATGAACAACCCGAATTGCATGTGATGTTGCTTTGCTTTGTGGATGTTATTCCTTTTCATTGGTTCAGCTGAGCTCCTTGGGAAATTTAATTTTATGTCAATCTTCGCTTTGCCACGCAGCCTTGATTTTGGTTATATTCGTTAAGAGCATCGTACCGGCGTGCGGTCGTGTATCATTACCATGTGGTGCACGTTAAAGACTCCAGGCTAGCGGATGAACCGCACCGGCTACATTGCTCATTTAATGCTGGAAGACAAGGCGCCCGTTGAATCAAACTAAGTTCAGGCTGTATAAACAAGCCCACAATCAAGTTTGGCTATTTTACACCATAGAAAAAGCCTGCGCGTCTACTTACCCGCAAAACACTCAAGAAGACAATCTCTGCGGTTTACGAAATCAGCTTAGCAAATGATGAGACGGAACATCTGTTTATATCTAAATATCTGCGTTGATGCATTTCGCACTGCAAGCTGTTTGTATTGCGCGCGTAATGCCACAGCCCAGGCTTCATTTTGAGTTCTAAACAGATGTTCCCCCTCATCATTTGCTGAGCTGATTTCGTAGATCGCAGAAATAGGCTCTTTGAGTCTTTTGCGGGTGAGCGAGAATGGTTCCCTTGAACTCCCTATGAATGCAACTCTAATCTACGGTGCATGTATCTATGTCATGATTCAAGGCATGAAGTTCCAAGAGGAACCGGGAGGAACCCAAAATTTTTTTCTGCGGTTCCTGAAGTGAGTGTGAGTGTAGCTCTTTCCTCACCATGAGAGGCCCTTCGTATCCGAGCAGCTCGGCAGACCCCGGAAGCCACCTCCTTGCTCGAACCTGGGTCGCGCGAACGCTCCAGACTGTTTCCTCGTTGCGGAAGTTCGTCACACGGCTCACGTTCAGCGTCTCGGTCTCTCCGCCAGACACGTAGTGCCAGAACTTGACGCAGCGTCGGCTTGAGGACTCACCACCCCGGAGTTGCGGGCTAACCAGACGACCGTTGGAGCGTAGCAGCCGAGCGTAGTGCCCTGAGAGAGATGGCGTAAGCAAGTCCCACGACGATCAGAGACGTTTCCAAGTATACAGCTGGTATTCCACGCGATTCGGCCCGTGGCTTGAAACTTTTTTGGTGCACTTGACGAAGGCGAAACCAAACGAAAAAGTTTGTTTCTTGGTTGGAGCAAGCATACTTGTACGTAATCCGTTACAAATAACGAAATTACTTTTGGCACTCCATTTATCAGTCATTTTGAAGGGAATTATTACTTATATTAAAAAGCAATTTCCTTACTTTTTTACGTAGGGCAGGGATTGTAATCCGTTACATTTTTGTTTTCATTAGCGGATAAAAATTTGGGACCTTTGAAAATTAACAAAAAACGTTCGCAAAAAAAAAATATTTTATTTTCTGTAAGGGCAAGCTCTAGCGTAATCAAGCTGTCACCTGAAATGACAAAACGCAAGGTCTGGCATTTTTTAAAGGCTCTAAACACGTGCTTCATGTCACCTAAAACATCAACTAAAATCTTGTTTTTTAATTTTTTGCAGCAAATCGTATATCGTCAGCTTGCTTGCCCAGAACGAAGTGAGCAAGCAGGGACACAAAAGAGCGAGTTGCGGCAACAACGAGCTCTTTCATAACAATTGTGTCTTGTTTTTTACCCTAAGGCAGAAAGGTTGAAAGTAACGCCGCGAAAGTAACGGATTACTTTTTGAAATAACGGCCACTTACTTTTATGGAAGTGTAATTGTAACTGCAATTAGTTACATTTAGCCATGGGTAATTGTAAATGTAATTCCTTAGTTTTTAAAGTAAAGTGTAGAATCTGGGAGAAAGTCAGGCTATTTTTTTGTATTTTGTCCAAATAAGTAATTAAGATTAATTATTCAATCTTCGAAATATTAAATTTAGAGCAAACGTTTCGAAGAGAAAGATGTACAGTGTGCTTAGAAACGTCCAATTCAGTGTTTTGTATCAAGAAACCTCAAACACAATTTGTTTCTCCGAGCTTCAAAAAGAAAAGCCCGAATCAAAAAAAAAAAAAAAACACAAAAAACGCGAATCTGTTATTAGCACCCAGTCAACAGTGGTCTATTCAGCATGGAGGCCTAGTTTATTCAAGCCACGGCTGATAGCGCAGCAATACAAGGCGCACATGCGCAAGGTCACTCGTCTTTTCATAATTCGAAAATTTTTTTTTGAAGGCTTAAAAGAAAGTTATGAAGGTTCCGGGTAAAAAAAAAAAAAACACTGAATTTGATATTTCTGAGGACGCTCTACAACTTTCTCATTGAAACGTTTGCTCTAGGTTTAGTATTTAAATATAAATTAATTTATATTAACTAAATATTTAATTGGGCAAAAAAATAGCCTGACTAGCTCCAAACAACGAACAAAGTTATTCTTTTACTTTAGTCTTCCTAAAATGCACCCCATCTTTTTAAGTCTTGGCTCAAATTACGTGGAATACCCTGTATATGCGGCCTCTAGGCGCCGCCATCTTGCTGCCGGTATGGGTAGCTCGTCAGATATAGTCGAGCGTTGCCGAGGCGTATAACCATGGTCTTGGCAATGCCTGATTATCACACGATCACTTATCTCCATTATAGGGGGCTGAATGGCGCATTCAGCAAACAGGTATGAAGCCACCGGAAGTAAGCGGCTTGTTTCGGAAGTAAGCGCTTGGCAGGCTTCGTAACCCTTTGGAGTGCGGATTCGAAGAGCGTCGAGGGCGCTAGATTTTCGCTTGTCACCTCAAGAGATCTTTCTTGTTGCGCAGAAAGAGCGCATGCAGACCGGAGGAGTATCATGGGAAGCCATTCAATGCAAACAATTTGAGATTCTAGTTGATGAAGTGTCCATATGTTCCAAGCTCAAATCCCTCATTTTGGGGATTTATTTCGGAGAGTGATTATTAAAACCCACTCAAAGACAACGGAAAGTACGGACTGAAGCATCGACTGAATGCTCTAAGAAGCCCAGCAGACACCCGACTTCAGGGACAAGTATAAAACTTCTGGTGGCTTCACTTGCGCCCTGCCCGGAGAGCGGCTGTGCTCTGTCCAGCCCCCCATAATAGAGATAAGTGCACATGATCTACCCACACAGGCAGCAAGATGACGGCGCCCAGAGGGTGTATACTTGCAAACGTGCATGGCCTGTTTCGCCTTAAATATGAGCACAAACGAAACCACGATGCATGCTTTGGAGCCAACCAAGCGGCCTGAAAAGTGCATCGTCACGGCGCTCGTCATCTTTATGCGTGTGCTATTCCCGCCTAAACCATTCCTGCATACGTTCAATGTCCGATGATCTTGCACTTTTTTTTTTTTGCTTATGGTGCTGTCTGATTGGCTCCTGCCGGATTGGGGCGGCTGCTTTCGGACTGAATGTGGAGCAGAGAATAATAGGCTAGAAAGGTATTCGTCCTTTTGATAGGTTCACACTCCACGAAATCGTTTTTATTATTGGTCTATATCGCACTCTTTCGTTTTCCGGAGTTCAGAGCAGAAACGTTTTAGCGTTAAAGTAAGCTTTCGTGTAAATGGGGCTCCTAGATACACGCGGCATTTCTGGGAGAGATGTGCCAGTATACAAATATTTCGAAGTATAACTCGGGTTTCGTGCTTTTGTTTTGTATGCACCGATAAATATGTAAAAGTATACCCCGAGCCGTTTTGGTAAACTTCAAGAAACTGCTAAAAAATCCTCGAGTTGAACTCTTTGAATAGGAAAATGAAAAGAAAATCGGGTTTCACAGAAAGGTTTTTTTTTTACAGCAGAGCTGTTAAGGGCTAGGTTCCCCAGGATCGTGTCCGGTACCAAAGAAATTTCGACACAAACCTACACGAACCTCTGGACAGCTACCGTCATCTATAAGCGAGGGCGGAAACTAGACAACCAGTCTGGCTGCCACCGTCGCTCATAGATGGCGGCAACCTCTCCAGCTACCAAAAAAGAATGAATGTTGGGCGAGTTCGTGGGAATTCATCCTAGGAAAAAGCGCGAAAACAAACGAGAACGAAGAGGAAACACGCGGGACGAGCGCAGCGCACATCACGAGTGTTTCTTCTTCGTCCTCGTCTGTTTGACACTTTGTTTCCTACGCTCTTATCAGTCTCGGTTTGGACTCATGATGGGTCGGCCGCGTGCCCTTTCTTCCGGGGAAGAAGACCGTGTGCGGAAGGAGCGGCGACGTACACAGCAGCGTGAATTAAAGGGGCGATGCAATGATTTTCGTACTTTGCGCGAATGCCGCTTAGAATGGATCCGTCACGTTGATGACTTATGAAACACGCGTTCGTTCTTCACCCCACGCAATAGAAGTCCCAGAAAAAATTGAAGAGAAACGAGCAGCGTTCACCCCCTCAACTCGCAGCCAGAACAAACGGCCACGTGATCTGGAGCCGATTATAGGCCGCCAATGTTCATCATAGCCACGTGCTGGGGTTGGCGAAGCACAGGACACGAGCTGAGTTCCAGACATTGTTATGGCTCGGGTATTGTCGTCGTTGCAGCGATTGGACACGGGCCAGTACCCGAATGCTTCTGGAGCTAGTAATTATCACGACCCCCAAATCGAGTGCCCACGCATTGCTCGGGTCCAATCTATAAACCGCATTCAAATATCGTCATCGGGGTGTACTGCGCTCCCCACGTTACGTCATCAAATTTTGCAAAGGAGAAATTCAATGAGAATGATCGCTTTTGTCCTTGAAATTACACCGCAACAAAGGAGTTTCTTGGCCAGTGGCGTTCCCTGCGAGCATCCTTGAGCCCCACTAGTGCCAGTAAGCTCGTGTGAAGTGAAAAACATTCCAATTGAATATCGGTGCAAAGCTCCTTTAAAGCCCCTTGACAAAGGGCTTTTTTTGCAAGTACCGCGAACCATTGTTGTGGAACCGCGCGAGACAAGTGCCACGAGCGGGTGCTGCGTCGCCATTCGCTTCGAAGGGCCGCTCGAGACGCTGGTCTCGTGCACTCGAGCATTAGACGCTACTTGCACGACAAACGCAAACATATCGAGGGGCTTTAGCGCGAATAAGTCCGCAACCGCAGCGTGCGTCGAGCGCTTCAGATTCGTTTGCGAAGGAAGGGCAGATCGTTCGCCTGGAAAGCCATCGCCGAGAACAGAAGCTACAGCTCCGCTGCTCTTCCTTCCTCACCAAAGTAGAAAGGCTAAAAGTTCTTTTTTTCTTTTTTGCCTTTCCTTTCCTTTTTTTTTTTTGCGTTGACCCGGGGAACTCAGCCACCGCAGAAACTTTCAGGAGGCTGCTAATTTCGTCGGGACCGATACCTCTCGTCTATTTTTTTTTTTTTTTACTAGCACTGAGAGGTTTTTCGACTATTCGGGCCACCGGCATGTTCCCTGGAGGTTGGAAAATTTCACACCCCAGTCCGGCTTCCTTCAACGTAGACAGCGATATACGCCTAATTCTTGTGTCAAATCAAAAATTGACACCAAAAAGCGACAAAACTGTGACATAAAAAACCGGAAAAATATTCCGCAGTTAAAGAAAAATATTCAACGACGCAAATACGAAAATCCCATGATTATTGACTGTACAGATAGTAATGGTTAAACTTGAAAGCAGTTTGTGCTTAGTTTGCTCAAGTAAATAGTACTGTTACATTTATATTGTTGAATCATGTCCAATTCAACTCGACGCAACGAACCCATGGCCAAGAATCTCATATGAATATTTCTCTCTCTCACTCTCTCCCTCTCTCTCTCTCTATATATATATATATTTATCTGTCCTATGTCATCTACACAAAGTTTCTGTTATGAATAAAGTTTCTCTAAGGGGAATTTTCAAACTCATAATTTGTCAAAACTCATATGATGAACGTCAAACATGAGCTAAACATAGCAAGAGCTGGAATGGTTTATCTTCTGTGATGTATGTGTGCGCGAAAAGCGGCGGCATGGTAAAAATGCTACTACTTTTCACTCTTTGACATTCAGCTGAATTTCAGTGTGTATAGTACACATCTTATTTCAGACCCTTGGAGCTAGGTAAATTGGAATCCATTGATGACATGGATATAACAGATTAGAAACTCCTTGCTTATACACGCAAACGCTAAACACAGCAAATAATAGGGCTACGTACTCAAGAAATATAATTTCACAAATGAGTTAAGGATGTCTACTCTATACACTGAAATTCACCTTGATGTCAAAGAGTGAAAAGTAGTAGTATTTTTACCTTGCCGCCGCCTTTCGTACACATATACATAACAGAAGATAAACCATTCCAGCTCTTGCTATCTATAGCTCATATATGACGTTCATCATCTTGCGGCGGTTTCTAATTTCGTGAAGGATATAAACACCAAAGTACTGAAGAGCGATTCAGTGCTGCTGCATAGAGCTCATGTCTTTTATTAAGTGAGTGATGAGAACCTCATTTCTATATTTTAGTAAGGTGTATTGTTTAAAGATAAGTCAGAAACAAAAAAAAACTATAATCAAACGTCTTGATAACCGTAGCACAATTATGTCGCACTCAGTTGGCGATGAGTACCTCTAAAACAAAAACACGGTAAACACGAAAGTTGTAATAATCTAGAGAGATATTACAAATACTTCAGAGAGGGCGAAAATCAACTAAAAGGATATCTTGGATAAACGAGAAAAAAATATAAGAATGACTTTGACGGGGGTGACAAAGAGGATTCGAGCAGGCGCTTTAGATTTTATCATCATAACAAGCAATATCCTGACATTATGTTTAAGAAACTTGATGGATAACTTACCCGAAGCAGTCCCTGTAGTGTAATCAATTCTTGGTTGAATGCCACTTTGGCCACGTTTAATCTCCCAGTCGTGCAGGGTCCAGCCGCAGTTGTCGTTTTCAAAATCGCACACCGCTATGTCATAAAAAGGAATGTGACAGTCAAAGTAATTTATAACAAATGGTTGTTAGGATTACAACTAGTTTATTCAGGCAGAGGTCGAAAAAGTTTGAAAGAACGTCTGTGAACGCCTTAAACACTACTCAAGGCTGTATAAACAAAACTGCAAGCACCGAAGAAATAACAACTCTTGAAAAATCTCCAAAGTACTTTGCATTCCCTTTATAGCTACGAGCAAGTTTAAGTAACTGTATTTTCCTACCCGAAACATGCATATATACTTAAATTTGGAGTAAATCTGTGCTGGCATTTTACAATAAGGAAAAAAAAAATGCACACGCACATTTAACAAAAGAACTCCGATAAGTGGTTGACATTGGTAGATCAACTTGGTTAATGATTAGCAACATTTGCTTCTCTGTCTAAATTAGTGGAGGGGCTTTTTGTTTGATGAAACGTAGTGAATGGTTAGTTTATTAAAATTTTAAGTTTTGTTTGGTGCCGAGATATATTGATTAGTTTAAAGGATAGTTTAAATTGAATGTGCATGTATCAGTAACAGCTTGAAGTAATTTTATGTGCAGTGTGCAATGTAGTTACCACGCGGAATCGCCAGTTTTCACATAATTTAACTCTCAAGAAACTTTAAATTTTTAAAACCTAGTCTAGTTGATGTTCTTACTCATGTTTATTACTGTCAGTAATGAACTTGATGTTTATTACTGACCCGATTGTGTAATCTGTGAAAATGTGCTGATGCCCCGTTGCCTCTAACTGTGTCGCGCAGTGCACATATTTCACTTTGCTTATCTATTCTAATATAAAAAATATACCAGTTGTGTTTCCTTTAGGTATTTCGTACATAAACTTAACCACACACTGTACGTGTCGTTAAAATTCTAAGCTAGGTATCAGAAATAATTAAGCTTCATCCTAACCATAGAAGGAACAATTGATCCTTGCTCTTCCCAGAATAGGGTAATTCATATGAAAAAAACACAAAAAACAGAATTCCAAAGGAATATTTGTATAGGAGTATAGACAGTTTAAAAATAAAAATGTAAAGCGCCTTCAAGAGCTTTGGTTTCACCGGGTATCCAGAATGAGAAAAAAATTCACCAGATATTTAATCAACAACATACGTTTCTTGTCATCATATCAGAGATGCTTTCATTGTGGATACAGATGCCAGAGGTACGGGGAATGGAAATCGATTTGGTTAACCAAGTAATCTATATTACAACTATGGTGATCAGAATTCGCCGAGCCGCGAATCACACTGCTGAACTCCTAAGTACTAAGGCAAAACTAAATAAAAGGTAAACTTTTGATTTTGAAATCTTACTAAAAATATAATTTAAGTGTACAATCATGTTGAATAAAAGTATGAAATTCGTAGCAATTTTGTGTACTGATTTTAAAGAAGGAATGATAAATTTCTAGAAACAAAATATCTTAAGTAAAATTCGGTACTGCATTAGCAAATTAAGCGACAGCGATTAAACCTACTTTTGCTCTTGCACCACATGCTGGTCACTTTGATCTGATCCACTGCTATGACAGCCGGGGTGGATCCGTGCAGCACAGCCTCCAGCACAAACTGGAACAAATGCGCCAATTTCAAGCTCTTACCCTTTCGGTCACTCTCAACAATACTCGCAAATTCGATCATGCAAAAAAAAGACAGTTGTATCTAAAAGACGTGTCTATTCATCGAAGATGTGAATACAAAAATAGCAAGCAACAAAAGCAGTCGCATATGAAAGACGTGTATATTCAGCGAAGATGTGAATACAAAAATCAGCAAGCGACCCTTATGTCCCAAGTCGTATAATGTATGTGCCGAGAAACTGAGGGGAAGGGAGGATCAGAACGCCGAGCTCTGATTGGACTGATTAGAGGGTAGACCTAAAGCTAGCTGCCTTTCTCTCCACTGCGCTCGTCGAACACGTTAAAACGCGGATCGCCGGCTTCCGCCGTTTGGCTCTGGCATTCCAACGCGTTCGACGAGTGGAGTGGAGACAAAGGCAGCTTGTCTTAGGCCTACCCACTAATCAGACCAATCAGAAGTCAGAGTTGTGACGTTCCCGCAAGCTCTTGTTTTACCGTCTTCTTCTGCTTCTCGCTGTATCGAATTTATTAAAGGGCTTCGTATGCTTTAGGAACGAACGCTTAATTTTGTTTAGAATACATCACACAGTCGTTCCGAGGAGTGCCGAAGGATATATTTTTCGATACATTTTTCGCGCTAAGTTATGCGAGAAAATCGACATGACGTAACGTCATGGTATCACGTGGAACAAACTACTGATACCATGACGTCTCCCCACGTGACTACGTCACATGACATATGAACGCCCGGTGACGTGACGTAAATTTCCCCACCGAATATAGAGGGGAGATTGATGTGACGTGGCCTGACGTCACAATTACAAGTCATAGTGTCACCTGACACCACGACGTCATGCGACGTGACGTGACGTGACATGGTCACGGAACGTGACGTCACGGTATTAGCCCTTGGCGTCACTTAAAGCCGTGACGTCGATTTCCCCCTTAAATGTAGCGAAGAAATTCACGTCAGCCGTCTCCAAGGTGGACAAAGTCCCGATAAAATATAAATTAAACATATTTATTTGACTTAAATTAGATTTATTTTATTTAAATAAAACTAGTTTGATTTAATCATTGCAGATGGCATACATGAGTATTCATCATTAGATAACTTTTTAAGCATAGAAGACTGATCAGTCCATCTGTGCCATCACTGAAATCCATGAGAAAAAATGGTTTATTGAAATTTTTACTTTCTAAGGTATTGTTTAATTAACACCATATCATCATGTTAACTTAGCCATACAAAATTGGCTTACTTCTTTATTTGTTAGAAATATTTATTAGATTAATCGCGTTTTTATTTGTTTCCAATATGCCTTTACTTTTTACGTTTTCTACTCTTTAGCATTCTGATTTCCTTGTAACAGAGTATTACGTAACTGTCCAGAGATGTGGAAAGTAGGAAGAAATTTCGCATGATTTTCTCAAAAAAGCGCAGGTTTTTGTTCGAGGACAGCCTTGTATAAAAGTCTCTTGCTTCATGATCCTTTGATTAAAATACAAATCAAATACACATACAATGCGTCAAATGATAATCAAACGCCGAATATGCCCTGATTTAGTTGTTTTTCCGCAAAGATACTATTTAGATCATCAGTTTAAAACTGATGTGATTGAGAAAACGACTTACATCATGCTTTAAACCCTGATTTAAAGCATATTCATTTTTATTTTCCACCCTAGCTATCGGTGACCGGGTCTAGGAGAACTAGTCACAAGCCCAATCCTTACACGCTAAGTGGTCATAGGTGAAGTCGTCGGGTTGGCTAACTTGTCACAGGCCACGGCGTGCGATGAATTCTTGTCATCCAAGAGTACTTGTCACACGAATCACTCGTTGTAGCCCTTAATATTTTATACGTGACGCCTGACATTTTTTTCTAAAAAATCGATTTACTTCGGTTTTTGTAAGTTGTTCAGTTAATATCCGAAACCGTGATTTACTATCTACAATTTGATTTACAAACACAATAATAACAAAAACATACATTCCCCGAAAATCTTGCGTTGACTTGAATTAGAGCAGAAAATAAATGCAAATACTGGTGATTATGCATTCATTTGTATACTGCGAGAGAGAGCCAACAGGCTAGGCGCGGAGCTTCGGCAAAAAACTTGATATATATGTCCTCGCCCAACGAGCGTCTTTTAAACTTTCATTGCACAAGGAACAGCGCGTAGGTATTTGTAATGTGTTAGAATTAGTGCCCTGGTACATGCGCTAACCTTGGACTGATTTGGAGGGCACCTATTCGAAGTGTACAAAGGTGAAATTGGATCGCGCAACAGCCCCACTGGCTGTGGAAACTGGTTAGTAAACACATTTTGCAATCGCTTACAGATGGCGGTGGAGTAGATATTTCGAGAGGTATGGCGATATGACTCATAGCAACGGAGGCAGCACTGGATTGGCTGGGTATGGAGAGTGACGCCGTGACGTAACTCCCCTTCGTCCCCCTTCGTCAATTTCGGTGCCGCACCGTGGGGGACGGCAGAGGACCCCGGGGCCTGTGTTAACCCACCCCGGCCCCGCGTTCAGGCCGCTTCGCGGCGACATTCTACGGATGGTTTATTACAAAACATTGTCACGAATTAACACACCATGGATCCCCCGTACACTCCGCCTAGCGGCGCCCCGCCGGCGGCCGAAGAACGCACTAGTCCCGTTGTCCCCCACTGCACCTCGGTTGTTTGTTTTAACGTCACGACGTCGCTTTCAATAATCAGCCAATCCTGTGCAGCCGCCGTTGCTAGGCGTCCTATCGCTTAACACCTCGAAATGAGCGACCAGGGTGCGGGTGTGTGCATTGGACGCCCTTGGAAGCTGCTGCCGCGGGCTGCGGAAACCCGTTCACGTTCACGAGTGGTGGTTCCGCTCTTCAGCCTGCCACGCCGTCTTTGACTCACAGCCGTCTTACAATGTCACCAGGCCCTAACCGCACGGCGTCAAAGGCCCTGTATGCACAAATATGCACAGCAACAAGATTTCTTGGTCTATTTCTGCGCATCATCCGCACGTCCTTTATGCACACGCTCAGTGCCCTGATCTGCTTGAACCAGGGAGAAGAGGGTTGTCGGGAAAGTTTGGCCGACGGAAAAGTTCCGAGAGGCTGCATTCACCATCCTTTGTTATATATAACCCATGCGGTGAATGCTAACGCATTTCTTCGAGAATCAGTGTGCGGCATCAGTTTTTCTGAAAAATAAGGGCCTATTACATCAGCGGGGTTCAGAACAAGCATGAGGCATTTAAAGGCTGGTAAACCAAAAACCAAATGTTTTTTTTTTTTTTTTTTTTTTTTTTTTTTTTTTTTTTTTTACTTAAGCGGATTCCAGAAATGTATCAAAATTGTATGATAAGGTTTTTGCGACATTCCGGAGTATGCTTATTCCGAGAACGGTTCGCAATACCTGGAAAAAAGGGGCATCAAGTTGAATTCGATGGGCAAGGTCGCTTTGTTATCTTTAGTTAAAAAAAAATGAAAGCCGTTTACAACTCCCTGTAACGCCAAACTAGAGCACAGCCCTTGAGGAGGAGGAGGGAGGGGTACTGAGGGGAGGGTATAACCCCTCCTCCCTCCTCCTCACCTCCTCATCCTGCCTGTCACTCCTCAATCCTAGCGGTGTCGGCGTCGCCGTCGGCGTAACCGTGAGGTCACGTGACCCTCGTGACCTCACGGGGGTCACGTGACATCACGGGGGTCACCTCAAGGGGGTCATGTGACCCCCCTGAGGTCACGAGACCCCTTCGGGACTTCCCTCAACGTGTTCTGAGGACCCCCCTGAGGTCATGTGACCCCGCGAGGACATTTGGGCACAACGCCGAAGCATCACCATGCCGAAACGTCGGCGCGGTGATACCAACGGCGACGCCGCTCAAGCTGGAAACGGGCGCCTAACAGCTGCGCTCTAAAAAAACAAGAAAAAAACGAACAAAGTCAAACATAGGGTTGTTTTTGCGGTGCATCGCTGCAGACTACGTCGAAACGCGATGGAATGTCAAAATTTTGCCTATGAAAGCCATTTGTTGCTAATTTAACTGTGACGAACGACTCTGCCTGTGGCAGAACGAGCCCTCCATGCTCGTGTGTCCCCAGCCAAGCACTGTTCTCTTGCAGGGCGACGTGAGGACGACTGTGAGGAGTTGGGAAAACTGCCGGAAAACTTCCAGCTAGCATGTGTCTTCTATCATAGTGTATCGATGCGTGGATGATGATATTGGTTGTATCCCTTGTATAGGGTGGTCGATTGCGCCACTTTCCCTAGAGACATTTACACCGCTTCCCTTTAAGCTTTAATATAAATTACGTATTTCGATAAATCATCTACTTCATCCTTTTGTGCATTGTCAGGCTTCGATCTCCAGTCCCTTTCCACCAATATTCCAACGTACTTTCTTGTTATTATAATATTTTTTCTTCCGTTCTTTCTTCCTCGCCAGCAAAATCCAGCGCTCAGGCAAATCCGTTAACCATTTATGGAGGGCAAATGCAGCCCCGTGCACCTCGAAACCAAGTCTAATCGTGTGTCGTTCGCACAATGGCATACGTCACATGAATGTATATCTCTTGAAACTTTGCTCTATGTGTCTTTGTCCTTCACATTTCACTCCAATTCTCGCCTCAAACAGCAAAGAGCTTTCCTACGAATAATAAACACTTTTTTGATTTCCTATGTTTTTTACTTGTCCATTGGTAAAGTTGATTTTTCTTGCATTCTTTCCTTCCCAAAATTTGTTTTGCTTATTTTCATCTTGTTTACTGGAACACTGCACTCAGCGACATATACTTATTAAAAAAAAACACTCAAAAACAAGGAAACAAGTAGACGAAACGACAAGTAAACGACGTGCACACTTTCCTTCTGCAATAAAGGAAACAAAACAAATACATCTAAACGACTTTTTTATGCGCTGGCGTACCTTAGTAGAGTGGTCTCCTTTAGCCCGGATATGAGTATGACTGCCCTTAACGGCCACATTACTGACGGACTCGAGAAATGTAATCGATTGCTTTTGAGTAGTTATCTCTACATACATAATCAATTTCAGAACAGCATTTTCTTGTAGGTGTGTACCAAAGTTCGTGGTAGATTGGCGCAAACATAACGGATACATCACCATCAAAGCTTCAAGTTTATGATTCGTTATTTTTAAACTCCCCTAAACGCAGTCATGCCAATTACCATACGCCCTAAGCGCATTTCTAAGTCGGATGCAAATATAATTTCTTGGTAACACAAAAAAGAAATGAAAGCCGCTTACAACTCCCTGTAACGCCGAATTGGAGCGCAGCTCTTGAGGAGGAGGAGGAAAGGGAACTGGGGGGGGTTAAACTAACCAGGGGGGGGGGGTCACGTGACCTTGGGGGTCACGTGACCCCCAATGCCGATGATGTCATCACTGACGTCACTGATGACGTCATCAGTGACGATGACGATGCGGGTACCGATGACGTCATTAGTGACGTCACTGATGACTTCACCAGTGATGATGACGATGACGATGCGATTGTCGGTGACGTCATCAGTGACGTCGCTGATGACGTCATCAGTGATGATGACGATGACGATGTGGATGCCGGTGACGACATCAGTGACGTCACTCATGACGTCATCAGTGATGATGACGATGACGATGACGATGCGGATGTCGGTAACGTCATCAGTGATGATGACGATGACGATGCCGATGCCGGTGACGTCATCAGTGATGATGACGATGACGATGTGGATGCCGGTGACGTCATCAGTGATGATGACGATGACGATGTGGATGCCGGTGACGTCATCAGTGATGATGACAATGACGATCTGGATGCCGGTGACGTCATCAGTGATGATGACGATGACGATGTGGATGCCGGTGACGTCATCAGTGATGATGACGATGACAATATGGATGCCGGTGACGTCATCAGTGATGATGACGATGACGATGTGGATGCCGGTGACGTCATCAGTGATGATGACGATGACGGTGTAGATGCCGGTGACGTCATCAGTGATGATGACGATGACGATGTGGATGCCGGTGAGGTCATCAGTGATGATGACGATGACGATGTGGATGCCGGTGACGTCATCAGTGATGATGACGATGACGATGTGGATGCCGGTGACGTCATCAGTGATGATGACAATGACGATGCGGATGCCGGTGACGTCATCAGTGATGATGACGATGACGATGTGGATGCCGGTGACGTCATCAGTGATGATGACGATGACGATGTGGATGCCGATGACGTCATCTGTGATGATGACGATGACGATGTGGATGCCGGTGACGTCATCAGTGACGATGACGTCATCGGGGGGTCACGCGACATCGGCGGGGGTCACGTGACCTTGGGGGGTCACGTGACCTCGAGGAGGGGGTCACGTGACCTCAGGGGAGTCACGTGACTTCGGGGGGGCACGTGACCCCCACGAGGTCACCTCAGGGGAGTCACGTGACTTCGGGGGTCACGTGACCCCCACGAGGTCACGTGACCCTGGTGGGGGGCTCGCGCGGTGCATTATGGGATATTTCCCATGACGCACCGCGCGGTTACGCCGACGGCGACGCCGACGGCGACGGCGACGCCGACGCCGCTCAAGCCGGAAACGGGCCCCTAAGAGCTGCGCTCTAATATAGGTCTATTTCCGGGCATGGATGTTCTTTCGTGTGAATCAAGGTTGACCCTGATCGCAGCACAAGAAAGACCAGATTGTGACGAGTGTTCCGGTGACGATCGTCTCCCTGCGACATGTGTTCTCTTCGACAGAGTGCCTAGATCCAGGGGGCCGGTGTGACCAGTTATCCCCTAACAAGTTTTTCAGGGACGATGGGAATGTGACGAATGGACTGATTCTCTCGGTGATCATAGAAGGTGTTGACAGTTTCATCTCACGCAGGGCGAATCTCCTCTATCCTATTATCGCTCAGCACTAAGTGAGAATGGGCCGTGATGTCTTGTTCACACATTTGCCGTTGACTGCGACCGACTGCGCTACAACCGGTTTTTAAACCACTCGTGACTGCTTACAACCGGCTCCGCTGGTGCGCATCATGTCGTATTCAAAAAATAGTGGTTTATAAAAAAAAACTTGTAACTCTTTTCGTTGTCGTACAGTGCAAGTGTGTGAACCAGACTTTAGCCGATACACTCTCAGAAATAATGGTTGTAGTACTTACACTCCATGCCCCATAGATAACACCCCAAAAAACTACTGTTGGACATTCAATCTACTGACGTCGAACAGGCCATACCAACTCTCACGAGCGACTTGATAGACGAGTGATACAAGTCGATAAGATACCTAACGGACGCATTAACGACTACATAAAACACTCCCGGTTTTGTTGCACCTGCTGAAAAAGCTTGGCATTTTTTTGCGTGTGCTTTTTGATACGCAAATGCGATATTTATTTAGTAAGTTATATCACAGAGCTATCAAGCTGCTTGTAAAGGTTGTTAGCGTCAGTTCGACGCCACTGGACTGAGCGTCTAACTGTACCGTAGTTTAAGGTGTTCTATATGGTACTAGAGGTGTAAGTACTACACCCGCTATTCTTTAGAGTGTAGCAACGCCGAGCAACAGATCACGAAGCAAAACGCCGCAAGATAATACGCTGTGCGTCTGGTATTTCTTTCGTAACTATACGCCCATTAAAGGAAATTTCGGCATCTTTTAACACCACAAAAAATACTCACGTTTCCCAGTGTGTCAGAAATGGTGTCGGCGTATCCCCTGAGCCATGCTCTTCCCTGTGGTCCACTCCGGGTCCAGATTAGATCGGTGGAGTTGTCCGCCGTGCGAAGGTAGAGGTTCAGGGTTCCGCTGTTGGGGTGCCTCATGTTGTACCAAAAGGAGAAGCAGCGGCCGTGGGGGCCTGATGCTTCCACTTTCTTGGATACCAAGTGTCCACTGGCTTCCACTGTCCAAGGGTTGCTGATGAACATGTACGGGCCTGAAAGTAGATGTAGACGGCAGGAGCGATAATTAAGGAGAGACAGAAAATAACAGGTACATAGACGAATTTTACACTGTGTACGAGGACAATAAGGACAAAAAGTAAAGCGGCTTTTGTGCCAAGACAAAAATTGTCCAGAAAAGTCAATCCGTCAAATCCGTTACACGTGGCAAAGGAATCGGAAATATATGTAGGACTTCTCTTCATGGGGGACAATGCTCCTCTTCTTCAGGGGTATTGTATCATTTTCTCTTAGTTTCTGCCCTGCCTAGAATTCTAATTTTGAAATTACTGCTATATTATTGCACTAATACGCAATTTTTGACCCACTACGCAGACCCCGCTCGTATACAGCGGAGGTGAGGGGGAAAGAGAAGTGGTGCTATCGTCCTGCTTAATTTCTCTCGCCCCCTCCGCGTTGCGTTATGTTATTGGTCCATAGCGCAATGACGTCAAGGCAACAGTAGCCCTCCGTTAAACACACTGTTTCCCACGGCATTTATAACCTTGCGACTAGCACCAACACGTGCACGCGAGGCCCGTGCAGGGATCCACCTAACCGCTTTAAAAGCACGTTTTGAGAGAACCGGCCTACTAAATGCACATGCAGCGTATTCGGTTGCAACGTGGTGACAGAAACTAGAGTTGGCTAATCACAGCCGAAACTCAGTGGCTAACTGATACTCAGAATCGTAAGAGCCAGTCGTGCTCAGTAGGCAACGCATGGCGCCTATTGGCGACTCGAGAGAAATCGACGCCGCGTAGCGGCAACGCCGAGAAGCTCAAGAGGGGAGGTCGTTTCGCCTCTGTCGTCTGATATTACTACTTGGTTCTCGTAGGCAGCATAGAAACAAACATCTTTTCTAGTAATTATTTTTATGCTTCCGCCATGTCATTCCTACGCATTGACTAGAAGGTTTCTACCTTAAAAAATCGGTTTGCATTCATATGTAACATTACTTTTATGCTGCAGTGCAAGGAATTTATGGTGGTCCGCGTGCTGGACGACGAAAACGACCTCCTTTCGTCCGCCATTTTGCCTGACGAGCGCGACCCCTATAGTTTGCTGCAGTTGCAAACATCCGCCAGGAGGACCTTTATGTTTGAAAACGTGGAAAAGCTGTCGCAAGTACAGCACGGTTTTAGGGGGCTTTCGGCCGAAGGGAAGTAGGACGTTTAGCCTTGTCATTTCTTCGGGGTATATAAAAATCAATATTACAATACACATGTTCAGCTGCGTATCAGAACATGCTGCAGCGAACGTCAAGTTTGGAGAGTTTTAACACTTATTTGCACAATTAATAACATTAATTACACAAAATCAAATGCATTTTTGGGCAAGTGCTTCCCCGCTAAAGCCAGCCTTGGTCTGTAATATGTGGTTTAAATATCCCCGCTGAATGTAACAGGTTGTCAATCTGCTAATTTTAGCGGAATTGAAAATAGGCATTATAATCGGAACATATGAACAACCTTTATAATATGTTTAGAAAACGATGAATCGAAGGAGTTTAGGATCAACAGATGAGTGCACAGTGATATTGGAGCTGACTCGGGTCACTGATGATAGCAGTAAAACCTGAGAGGTTTTCAAATTTGGTACTGTGCAAAATATTATGATAATTCAGCTTCAACTTCAACTTTATGTTCATCATCTAGACGGTATGAGGCGTTAAAGTAGGGAGCCGCATTCGATCGCGCACAGGTATTGCTTCAAGTCGTCGCTGAATTGAGGTATTCGACCCCATTCAAGTAAACCTTGAATCGAAAAAAATCTTGAAGCTTTCCAAACCAAGAGCTCACCCGAATGTCCCACATCATCAGCCGGGGGTTGCCAGGGGCGAGTAACCACGCCTCCAGCGTACTTCGTCCAGTCCAGCTCGTCATCCAGGTTCTCCGGGAACCAACCACACGTATCGTCATACGAGAATTCGCAGCTCAGCCATAACTCGTCCTTGTCTGTTTGAAAGGGAAGGGAGATGCACCGAGGTTAAGAAGACCGACTCTACACTCTAAGACAGCTTACACCTTTAATGACGTAAAAAGGGCGTTGAAAATCCTTGCTATCACGCTATGAGAAATTTGAAGCGTCTGCTTTCCTTGCAAAAAGCTGGGAGTGCCAAACCCTACAATCTACAGAATAGGCAGAAAATGGTGAAAATCCACCTGTTTAGCTCAGCTTGTAGAGATCTCTACTGGAAATTGAGAGGTCCCTGGTTCGATACCCTGATCAGGCGGATTTTTTTCGTTCGCGCACCAGTCACCTATTTATGTTCGGAGATTTGTTGTTTGTCCTTTGTCCCCCTTCTCCAGAATGTATTATAGTCATTCTTGTCCACCTTACCTTCACATTTGCATTAGTTGAATTATCCGTAGAAAATAGTTTTTTAAATTAAAACAGAAAAAAAAACAGTCTGCGATGTGGCACTGAGTGTGATGAATATCTTTTTTTTTTTTTTTAGCCTCGACATTTCTCTATCTTTCTCTGTGGCTCTCAGAAGTGCTTTGCGGAAAAGCGGATGATTCACATTTTTTCGGAGTGCATGGCTACACCAATTCAGAACCCTTTATTTCGAATTATACAACTTTTTAATTGTAAAATAGGGTTTTGTCAAAGAGACAACCCTTCATTTTTGAACGGTGTAAAATAAAGTAGGTAAAAGGTACTAATGAGAACGTAAGCCAATTAACTCCTTCGAGGGATGTTAGTTGCACTGACATTCGCTTCGACAGCTTTTGCGAAGGTTGTTTCAGCGACTATTCTGATTATTGATTGCCTGCAAAAGTTTGTTCTACTCGCAGTTAAATTCCTTGATCTTATAGTGTGTGCAAAGCTTTGCATGTATATCGAAGAGAACAATGCAATGAACTTGTAACCGTCGTACGTTAGGAGGCGGTAACTTGCCAATGAGTGTCTGAAATGTCGAGCATATAAGGTGGTGAAGCTATCATCAAGGTCGTGATTCCTTTCTCGTGTGTGATTAATTGCGTCTGTGTTTGTAGATAACAAAAGCAAAAGAGCGCGACGATGTGGACAAAGCAAAAGGTAACTGACAGGATATCGCACTGTTATGTTCTTATTATGTTCAAACACCAACTATTCTAGACTTCAGCGTTAATCAACACTATTTAAAATTTCTCTCGATGCAAGAACTTTATGTGGCGCATATCAGTAAACTGCTTATTTGCAATATTATCCCTAGGAGGCTGCTTAGATCATCAGAATCCCATTTTTAAGGTGTTCACCAGCATCCTAAGGCTCTCGCTGTAACGGCCCATAGATATGTGTCGCTGTAACACTCTTAGAAGGCTAGGGGCGTTGATGTAACATCGTTAGGTCGATAGCCCAGGGACAAGGTGATTTACACCCTTCAGCGCAAAACATATTTAGTGAGTAAAATAAGGCTTAGTGTATCTACGTGCCGTAGCCTTATTGTGGGCCGCAATGTACATTTACAACAGCCCATTTAGTGAGCCTTGACGTCACTCCCCCGGATACTTACATGTGTCACTGTCTCTGTCCGGGTGGCACCCACGGTATGCAATACCGTCGATGCTGGTGTGGTTTTGATTGGTCATAAAGTAGAACTGAAAAATAAGTAAAGGGGATGATATTGGGCGAACACTTAGCAATTAAACGCCAAGCTGGTAACCGAATACAGCGGTGATTAGCTTAAATCAATCATCAGATACCGAGAAGCGCTCACCATATTACGAAAAATATTGACTTAGTAACGTTTACTAAATCGGTCAGAATGATAGTCTTAATCAAGAAAGTAAAAGTCAAACGTTTTGGGTAACACTCTTCATCCCAAGGAAGTCTCATTCATGTAACGTCGGTAATCACTGAGAACACCGCTAGTCACAAAACTTGCCACGCAGGACGTGGAAAGTTTCGTGCATAATATTGCCTTCTGCACCACTGAATTTTCGAAATAAACCGACGAAAACATCGATGGTCGCATTACAAAGAAGGGAGCATGAAAAAAAAATGAATAAACCACACCCTGCACGTTTCATAAGTTGTCAGTGACCACAGCAATTCAACCCTCTGCTGCTGTTGCTTTTCCGCGTTCATTAGTAACGTGTTATATGTATAGTGTTGAAGATCCTCAAATGTATTTGAACAATAAATACACACGGGTGAAACGAGAAGGTAACTTATATACTAATGCTGTCATGAATAACTTATGGCCGAAGATATGTGAATTATGCCAACTATAATTTATTTCACCTTAGGTCAAAGCGAAACCGGTGACGCAAGCCAATCAGGCTATTCAGGAAGCGGCAAAAGGTACAGGTCACGGCGCTAGTAATCGCTATTCTGCGTGAGCGGCTATGAAAAACTAATCAATCTCAGTCAGTGCGCCGTGATTTTACGTTATGGGTATGCGTGTTCTAGTATGTATGTCTTCTAGTCCTTAAATGATTTCCCACGTATTCTGAAATTCGATATGGATGCAGATTTTATAGCTGCTATTGTACTGCAGCGGGCCGTAACGGTGAACATTAAACACCACCGTTCTGTAGATGCCCCGGATTTTTCTGTCGCTTCTGAGCCTGAGTGGCTCAATGTTGACATGTGCCCTGAGCATGTGATAAAATCAACGAAAGTATTAAAATTCAATTAGGAATTGCGTTTTAGGGTTGTGAAAATAAAACGATGTCTCTTTGCTGCGTTGTAGATCGCGTGCATAGCCTACAAAATAGTTACCATTTGCGATATATTGTACACTGCATACACGCATCGAACACCGGATTATATGTACAGGAAGGTGCGCCCAACTTTAGGCCTGCCGGCTGTTCGGGGGCACGAAAAGCATATATTGATTGCTTGTTTGATTCCCACCCAGGATTAAAACGCACTAAAAGCCTGACCAAAAGTTCGGAAATTAAAAACAGCGCGGAAAGACGAGGACCAGACAAAGAAGTGACACGGACGTAGCGCTGACTTACAACTGAGTTTATTGAACGCAAACTCGCAATATTTATTTGCGGTGTCACGAACAAAAGAACATAATTTTTTTTTTTTTTTTATGTTCTTTTGTTCGTGACACTGCAAATAAATATTGCGAGTTGGCGTTCAATAAACTCAGTTGTAAGTCAGCGCTACGTCCGTGTCACTTCTTTGTCTGGTCCTCGTCTTTCCGCGCTGTTTTTAATTTCCGAAGTATGTACCAACTCGCCCAAGCCTCAACTTTAGCTGACCAAAAGAAAAGTCAATATCACAAAAAATGTGGTTTTAGCTTTCAAGATAAAATAAAAAAAATGAATAAGAAAAATGTATTGAGAGGAACATTTTTGGGTTTTCTATTGGTATAATAAAACATATTTTAAGTGTATTCATCTTAGCTATCATTGTAGGTCGACAATAGCAGCAGAGTACATAAAAAAAAAACGCGAAACACACAATTAAAACACCAACTATACACATTTAGTTAATTCGTGTATTTTGTACATCTTGCTTCACGTATTTGGCGCGCTTAGTATGAACGGCAAAAAATGTGCAGATTACAAGGTGCCATTCAGCTATCTGAAATCGCCTGCGCTATATTAGTATACATTTTTATAATTCGTCTTTGTTTAATTAAACCTATGGTGTAGTGCTTTTAGCGTATATTTTTATTATCAGGATGAGACCGAACGCAGATAGTTTATACAGAAATAAGATCACCATATTAAGTGCCGAAAATTGCCCCCCTCTCCCCCCTCAAAAAAAAAACAAAAAAGCGTAAGCTAAGTGCTCGTCTTTTTTGCTAAAAGTCGGTAGGGGCTTAGACGCTTGTTTGTTTTAACTGAATCGTTTGGTCCTAGTTTACCGCTCTGCCCGTGCCTTCTGTTTTATTTCAAAATAAATTAAGTAGCAAGCTATTATTGTATTGGAGCGAGTGCACTAAGCAGCAGTGCTCTCCTTGGTGATGTCGCTATGGTGCCTGCAACGGAATTAGCAGATCTCACTAAGCGTTCTCGTGATGCCCCTGCGCCCTGCGTGATGCCTGTGGGCATCACGCAGGACCACTTGTCCTGCATGATGCCCACAGGACAAGTGGTCTCGTGCTCTGATCGTGCAGACTTTCACCTGGGTTGTCGAGCGTCAAGATAGACTACAGTTCCCACGATGCACGGCGACAGCGGTGACGTTCTTAAACTAGGTGGTGAGATCGGCTTCTTGCGACTGGCGTGTTCAGCGTCCTATTCCGCACCTTGCTTCAATTGTGGTCGGGAAGTGGCATCAAAGGACATCACAGAAGCCGGAGTGTCGTGTGGTTCGATGTCGCGATGCTGGTGCTTGGTCACTGAAGTTCCGGCAAAGGGCCCGAGAGATCACGATTGTCGTTGTTCTCGCAGCGTCTCAACTGCTATCTTTTGAAGCTTCCATGAATAGCCCGATCTCACTAAACATCTGGCGCATGTGTGACACTGCCATAGCTTCAGTTCACAGAAGGCAGGCGGACGTGCATGCGAGGGTTCGTGCCGTTTCATGCTCGGCAGGCGCAGAGCTCCAGCGGGGTTGTCGCACGTGCAGAAAGACTAAAGTTCCCTCCATGCAATGCGGCAGCGGTGGCGTCGTCAAACTCTCTGAAGAGATCGGTCTGTTGCCTGAGCTAAAGAGCGACCTGCAGCGTAACGGGCATCTGCCGCATTCGCATCCATTGTTGTGCTACCGGCAAGAGAGTGGCAGACAATAGCGTGACACTTCTGTGACGTCATGAGGCAGACATCAAGGGACCACGTTTGGGGACTCGGTAAAACATCAGATATAGACGCGTTCCAACACAACAATGTCGCAAAGCAAACTAAAAGACGCAAGCGTTACTTACTCTTGCTCCAGGATTCCAGTTCCCGACCTTAATATTCACCTTGGTCCATGTCTGGTTGCTCTCGGCGCTCGTAAGCAGAAAGAATCGTTTGCGCCTAGAAGTCTTAGGCGTTATTTTTCGCTGAACACCAAACCACAATGCAGAATTCGCTGAAAAAAGAGGTGTGAGATACTTTAGTGTCAATGCCAAGCCTCTATAGTGAACCATGCAGTCAAGAGAAAGACATTTTCACACTACTACTCTCAAGCAGAACAAACTGATAACGACAACTTGTTATGACAAGTTGTTGCGTTTTGTATTAAAACATGAAATGTTCCAAGGTGTTGGGTAGTTTCACGCAAGCCAAATAGGTTCCCATTTGAACGTTTGCAGATAGCCGTGTTTTAAAAACTAGTCTGACCACCTTGGATAGAAATAAAATATCGGGCTAAGTGCCGCAAACACCTCCCATTATGAACGGTACAGCCGTTAGCATATATCCAGTATCTATTTGTTGTTTGGCCGCCAGTCTGACAACCGTGGAGACACCTCAGCAATGCTTGACTATTAGACGATGTATCCCCACCAGAAGCAAGATGGCGGCGCCCTGCGGCCGTACTTGAGAACATCTATAGGAAACGCAGGGTTCAAATCCTAACACAGTCTTAGCGCCTCTCTTCTTGCCGAGCGTAGCATTTTTGTTTTTGTTTTTGAAATATAATTAAGCTTAAGCCCTGCACGTTGGAGTGAAAACTTACGATGTGCGAGGAAGGCGTAGAAGCTCACGGTGCATGCGTGGGCCATTTGACCCAACGGAGGAGTCAACAGGGCGTTGGCATCTGTTCTTGGAACGTCTACAAAAGAACACATGCAGGTTTAGTTTAGAACACAAGGTTGGGCTGCCAAGACTAAAACATAGCCCTTAGTGCTAGGACGCCTCATTGTCGAGGTAGTGCGTCAAAAAGATCTCATAAAGCCATGGAGGAACTACATTTGAATGTGTAACGTTCTTTGGCAAGGCGTTCGACATTTCGCGAAGCCAACAACTAAAGCCTGGATAAAAGTGTGGCTGCGAGACGCGACATCGATTAATTTTGAATGGAGAAAAAAGGGCATCGCAGTAAAGTCACGACACGTCGCCGTGACTTCTGGTGTTATTTGGCGAAAAAGCCCCACGGGGGCATGCGCTCCACGTCCGGCAGGTAGCAACTTGACGCACCTGCCATGACGGTTTTAAAACCCGGGTTAGCGCAGGTACCTCTTTCCCGGAATCGCTATCGAGTGTAACGCGCTTTCCCGTCTTTAAACTAACGAATGAAGAGTGCCGAGAGTGTGAACGCCAGAAGTTTCACATGCAACACAATTGACCAGCAATTTCTGCTGGTTTTTTGTAGAAAAATAAATTAGGAAGTACATAAAAAACAATAATGCCGTCCTTTTTTATGTTTTTTTTTTTTTTTTTTTTTAAGCGAGACGAGCGAAGAAATGGAAGCGACTTCTGTGAAAAAATCTTTTTCAACTCTAGTCACTGAGAATTGTAAGAAACGGTGAGCACCGCGATTGCCACGCATCTTATCATCGGACCGCTGCCATTGGGAGTGCGGTATTAACTGATAAGAACATCAAGGAACCAATCGCGAAGCAGCATGTGTAAGCAGGGCACGCCCTGTTTGTTTTTAGCTATTATTGATTAGAAAAATATTGACGCATATTTAGCTGTTCTTACTTTTTTCTCGTCTCCAAAAAATGACTAAATCTGCAGTTTGCTAGCTGGCTTATTCTTTGTCCAACAAAGATAAAAATGTTCAGTAATGACTGTTACAGTAATCGATATGTTTTGCCATGATTGAATACTATATTATTCGATTTAAGTAACAACGAAGCGGTCAAAGTTGGTAGGGGTATGTCGGCTAACAAGTAAACAAAAATGCACGATGAAGACACCTTGGGTTAGTACATATATGATGCAACTAAAAAAAGACAGAACATTTTTAATGATGGGCTTTACTAATTTTTTTTATTGGGGTTTATGAATTGTGATGCCATATCTGCTGATATGGAAATAATTATCTTATTTTCTGGTTTAAACGTTGCACCTCTGAAGTAGGCGAATTTAATTTATACCTTGAGCAGACTTTCGTAAATTCTTATAACAGGAGAAATTGAGCAAAAAAGAAACTCTTTCGGAAACAAACTGACAGCCACTCCAAAACATCAGAATTTGTAAATACACCCAAAAAAAAACATAATATAAATAGCAACATTTTTCATAAACTATAATAATACATTTTTTTTTTGTTTAGTGGAAATATAGATGAGTTTAATTGAGAACGTGATGAGAGTCATCGAGGCCCATAAATCAGGCAATTTTACCTCGACATCAAGCTCGTAGGGAGCGCGGAGGTAAGCTAAAGATACCGCTCTTGCAGCAGGCGCGAGAAAGGGCCTAATTAAAAAAAAGAAGAAAAAGTTAATTATTATATTTCTGATTATTTAATTGATAAATAGTATGTTTATTTCAACCCTTAGCTTCTGCCGTCGCTGGAATTTTGTTCCCGAGAAATTTTTTTTTTTCAAACTCAGTAGCTTTTGGGTTGTTTGGAAGTCTTTGAAGGAACACCCGGTATATTCAGATTTGCGGCGTGGCGACGCTACATTGATAGGTCTGCCACTGCACATTGTGGTCGCGATATATCCGAAAGCGGGAGCCATTTTAAATTTTCTCGCCAATTTTTCAGACGATAAATAGGATCCTCATGGCAATGCACATATAGGTTTTCTATACTTACAAAAAAAAACTTTCACCGACGAAACGTTTGGGAAGAAAACCGTGACTTATACAACGCAATTACGGTACCATGATAAATATATTTCCCCACTGTTTCTACTCTGTACGAATATGTATTGGTGCAAAAGGTAGGTGAGAAATGTGAGCTAATTGTGGAGTCCCAAAATGATATATGTATAATTCCTTAACGCAGTCTCTGCTGCTTTGCGTAGTTGTGTCTCTGGGCTTGCTTGCTCCGATTTCGGATCACAATATGCGTATTGAAACTAGCGAAAAAAATGTGAAAAGAAAACATAAATATGTGATAAGGAAATTTATTTCCCTTCGCAATTTTCTACCGTTGCTTTTTCATGCAAGAATGATAACTTTATTACTATAGGAGAGTTATTTCTGTTCCCCGCTTTCATCTCCGTTAGTGAGGGGGGGGGGGGGGGGGGGGGATCAGGTACTAGCACTATACGTAATGCGTTTTCTTTTTTTTTTCATATTGAGCCTTTCAGCTAGAAGACTGCTAGAAGAAAAGCGGTATTGATACGACAATTAATAACCTAAAAATAGACGTCAAACTGTCTATCAATCAGGGATGGTTTTATATATTCCGATTAAATTTTACAAGACATCACTGCAATCACTGTTCAAATGTATAAACTCAAAAGCGCAACAGAGCCCCGTCATCTGCAGTTTAAAAGCGCGCACGAAAGGGACCCGAAGTTCATCGCGTGACTAGCGCCATAAGCGCGCAGAGAGAGCGACGACGCGCGACCGAGCGCAGAGCCGTCAAAAGCAAGCGAAACACGGCGGCGCGCCGCAAGATCCGTCACGACAGGGCTGCGACAACATGCCGGCGTCGCTAGTGCGACAGTGCGCCCGTTTCACCGCGTAGCGCAAAGGCGCACAACCGTCACGAGCGCACTGCGCCGCTCGTAGCGCCATCTGTACTCTGACAAACCAACCCAAAGAGGTGTCCGCGTCCTTGGTGCGCCCGTCTTCCCCACTCCACGCGACAGCGCGCTCCTAGCACCATCTGTACTCCGACAAAGCAACTGAAATAGGAGCTCGCAGCCTCCGTGCCTGCTTCCCGGCGCGCGCCCCTCCGCGCACCTCGCCATTGGCGCTCCGGAATAGCCCCCCCCCCCCTCCCCTCTCCCAGGCTCCTCCCCTCTTCTTAGGCCACGCCAGCGGCAGACCAGCGACATCTTTACCGTGCAAACTGCTATTTCAGCGAAATGAAATTGTAATCATTGTTGTTCTGTCTAAGAAAAAGTTTACCATCAAGTTTATCACTCCTGGAAGAAAGACTTATCTTGTTGTGACAACATAATTAAGTCAGAAAACGATGACGAAAAAAAAAGTGGGACGTAAAATAAAACTTGAGTGAGCTTACTCTTGCTTCATTAACCATTTAAAACACGAAACGAGAAAGCCAGCAAAGTCGTATCATCATTGCGTTGCTATTAACTTAATAACCTTGATCTACATTCGGACGTGCACCATGCGCTCTAAAAACGTCAATGAGTTTACCTTGATGCAGAATACAAAGAAATCGAATCATACCAAACGCAAAATCCTAGCAACTGACGACGCTCAGAATTCAAGTACAAAAGAAAAAACATTGATATGTTTACGGACGATCAGAATAACGTTAAACCAGCTCATTGTCTTTGCATAAACTCATATAACTTTTCAGACCTTCGGCACTCGCGGGAATTCATCTATAAATCGTCGCGATTGACTATTTGTGACCCTTACAAAAAAAAAAAGAGACTGAAATGTTTTTTTAGAGTGTGAGGTTTTGCAATATTTATAGTCGGCCAAAACAACAAATAATGGTGTCACCTGGATTAGTGAGCCTAAAGGCGACGTAGGATCCCTGTGGATTGTTTTCCCTGTCAGATGTTGGCAGGCCATAGTTGCGAGACGGATTCTGCTTCACCTCTGCAGCCAAGGTTCGCTTCCATGTGAATTTTCCGTTGGGGTCGTCCGTGATCAGGCCACACATGTCCGTCGAGAAGTCACATTGCCCTGTCGATGTCAAACATCACATTAACGAAGGCAGTTCAATATGTACGCACTGCTGCGTTGTTCTCTTCCTGAAAGCGATCGTTGAATGTCTTATACCCTAGTTACACGGGCACTTTGAACTGTCGTTGAGGTCAATCACAATTATCGGCGCTAACTGTGATTGAACTCAACTGTGAACTGAGATGGTGCTGGACGGCTCTCTAGAACCCAGTTGAAGCTAAAGCGAAACTAGTTCTTGTGCCACGTGATCAGTCTAATTGTTCAAGTAATTTTCTCGGAGACACGCCCTTTATTTATTATAAGCATATCGTACAATATGTTCACTACCTTGTTACTTTTTATCGGCGTTTACACGGCTACCGAAGCAGAATCAGGGCTAGGTTGCGCATATCTTAGGATAGGTGGCGCAAACTACCGCCCACTACGATGGGTGCATCCATTACTATTTGTCCATTTATACAACCGGTCCCGCCGCCATCTTCGCTTGTTTGGTGGCTTGCCGGCTAGCCGGGATCGTTTTAGCGGCAGCTCGGGTGCCTAAACCTATTCCTTCCCAGATATTTTGCTGCTACGATTCTTTCTAGACACCTCCCCTTGCATTCCGAAACAGTAAGTGCCTCGCAAACGATGATCGGCGGCAGCGGTCCCGCGGACAAGCGCCATTTTAGCTCCGAAGTCCGTTCAATTGAACTGAGGTAGGGGACCTCCGTTGAACACAACTGTCATTAGCGGCTCGATGACAGTTGGCGCCGCCGTGTAACTCCGGCCGATCGCGATTGAGTCAAGTTTCGTTGACTCAATGGCAGTTAAGAGCGCCCGTGTAACTAGGGTATTATAAGCTCTTTTTATACCTTGAACAGGGAACAAAATTTGTCGCCGTTTCTTGGGCACTAAGTTTGTGATTGGATCCGAAATTTCGCCGATTGCTAACGATGCACTCGTAAGCGATACGAGCCGGGCCATGTTTACGCCGAACCAGTCCAATATATGCTCGGAGTAAGTGATCGAAAAATGGAAGTTTCGGGTAGTTGGTACAACGGCTCGGCGCGCCCTTTAGCTGCAGAACATGGCACATTTAATTTATTTGATTTCGATGAGTCAAGGTTCAGTTATTGTTGAAGGGTTTGGATGAGGTTTAAACATAGTGAAAACGTGGTCCACATTTTGGGACAGGCTTAAAGCTTACCGTCACACCAAAATTAAACATTCATTACTAGGCAACGCCATGCTCCACGTGATACACAAAATGAGAAATATTTTGAACAGCGTCACAGCACAAAAGGGAGGTATTGTAGCGCAAAGCCTGACTATGGTAATTTTATATGAATGACCTTTTCAGTAAGTCATATTAACAATGTTCGCAAAAAAAAATTTTTTTTTGTTGCAGAAAAAAAAAACTTTTTTTTTTTGCTGCAGAAACAAAGAAAAAGAGCTTAAATGGTTTGTCACAGGCATGCAGACTTAAACGTTTTCACCTTTGAACATATTAGTAAAAAATTTCGCACAAAGGGATAATCACGTCAGATGTTTTATAGCGAACAAACTTCACTCATTCACGATGACGTAAATATGTGCCGTGATTACTAGATAGCCAAGTCGAGCACAGCCACCGCGTTCGTCTGAAAAAAATACCGGGGGTTTCAGTTCACTGCCATGGTATTAGACTTTAAAAGGACACACAATTCTTGATGTACCATAAAAGGGGGTGAATGGTATGTTTCTTTCTGGGGCGGGCTATCGTAATTGGTGGCAACTGCGAGTGAGTATTTATTTGTTTGTATCTATATTTCTTCGTTTTGTCTGACCCTACAAAATGCAAGGATCTGCTTTCGTAGGGCAACAGTATTTGGATCTACGATATCACGGAAATACAATTTATTATGGTATATTTTATAAAACAACAAAATAATCTTTTTGAAAAGAAAACACAATAAGCAGAACACAGCCTGGTGGGTTCAAGTATACATTATTTTTTACGAGGGCATCTGATATGTTTATGTGTGTCACCTGAGAAAAACAGAACGCGATATCACACTTGGAGTTTCTCACTTCCGAATGTTTTCAATTCCTTGCGCTGACCTCCGTAAAATGACGTAGAGTCGGTCCTGTTATCTATATAGTCCTGTTATCTATACACCAACACGCGGCTTTGACGTCACATCTCTGCGGTGGCGCTGTTGTCGCCACTGCGCATGCGCAGAAGCTTCACCTCTCGCGAATCTGGTTCATGCGCTTGCGCAGTGCCCACACCTGGTGTGGGCAAACGCGGGCTTGTTTGTAAACAGTGTGTTGGTCTATATAGTCTATACGGTCCTGTTATCTATATAGTCAGTTACAGGATAAGAAAATGTTTCAATGGAAAGGAAAACTGGGGAGGAGGAGGCAGACAGAATGCCGGCGAGAGGAGGAGGTTCGCTTGTCTACTCCCCAGCATTCCGTTTGCTTCTTCCTCCCCGAGCCCTCCTTTCTCTCAAAAACCTTTCTTAACCTGTAACATACTATAGTCGCTGAAAAAATGAGAACAGCTGGCCATCTCTTTCGGACGGCCGGTCTCCAGCGCTTTCTTCGTGCCTTCTACCGTGCTTTGGCTGCGAGCTTGCGCTCGAATCGTACAAGACGCCAAAGCACTGTCCAAGGCAGTAAGCGCACGCTGGAGGTAAAGAGAACAGCAGCTCCTCCCTATGACATGGGGTGATTTCAAGGGGGTAACCCACTCTAAGATTATAAGAGCAACACTGTGTTTCCGGTTTGTCAGACGTCGAATTCGGGAGATTATTTGTTGAGGAATCGAAATTAATTCGTTCATTTAAGGCCGTCTCTGTGCTGGGACCGAAACGCGTGTGACTTGAGAATACCTAGGAAAGGGGCAGAAAAAACAACAACACATAAACTACCTAGCTGGCAAGGCCATTGCATCACCTGCCAGAGGGTAGAGCGGTGTTCTTATTGGACCCGAGTGTATGCGGCAGCGTTTGGCCGGGATTTGTGTCCAATCAGAGACCCGCGCTGTCCTACGATCCGATTTATTCCCAGTCAAGCAGCGGCAAAAGTTCATCGTCACGACGCTCGTTGCCTTTGCGCGTCTGCCATTACCCGCTCACCGCAATCTTTTTCGTCCGACCCGTCCGCGCAGTGCTTCTTGAAATCGCAGACCTGGGCCTGTGGGATGCATTGGCGGGAAGTGACGCACGTGAACTGGCCCACGGGGCACGCAGGGGCCTCGGTGGTTGGGGGCATGACAGGGGCTTCCGGAAGAATGCCTTGAAGAAGAACAACAACACGACCAGGAGTAAGTACATAATGCTCCATCCTCAAATGAAAAACAAAAACAAAATATTAAAGTCCAGGATTTTTATTAACAAAAAAAAAAATATCTGTACCGAAAAACGCTCAGTCATCATCCAGGTGTACCTATAGCTGTTTGAACCAGGTGCCAAAGTTTAAGAACAAACAAATATCTCATTCGAAAAGTTATAATTGATTTTGCAAACTTTCAGTCGGAGAATAGGGATCGTCCTCGGTGGTTTGTGCCTATTCGGTCCCGTATATTCGAGGGATTCGTTAGACACCAAATCACCAACGAAAAGTTCCGAAACTGGCTTATAACTTTTGAATAAGATAAAGGATCGCTCTGAAACTTCAGTCTTTTCTTGAGACCACTAGGGCTACAGTTGGGTGGAAACGTAGCGTTCCGAAACCCGCAGTTTATTTTAATATAAAAAAACAAACGCTGTAATCTCTGTTTTAAAGAAAACCTCGTTCAATTACAGCATATCAAAATAACTTTAATTGGTGCCTGGAAAAGAAGCACTGTCAGAACGATCGACATCACAAGAAAGCCTTTTTTGAGCTTCAGCACTGTTTTCACAGAAAAGTCTGTTTGCCTATAGGATTAAAAAAAAGCGTGTCGCAAAGTATAAGGCAGGTTTGATATCTTCTTGTTAGACATAGAGGGAACAGTAAATTTCAGTTAATTATGACCAGTTCAGGCTTCCCGGCTAAAGTTATAGACCTTTTCATCTCAGCAGTTGCCTGAGCGGCGGATAGAGGGCGCTGAATGCAGTCTCCGCCATTAGGTTGCCTTGATTTGGTTGATTTCGGTTTAAACGTGCACATTGCTGTTTTTCTGCTTTATCTAGCTTTTGCAAAATTTGGTATTACAAGTATTTACCTTGTAGCACACAACCAATGAAACTGGAACCATTAATCCCTGATGAATACTAAGAGATTTCGAGCCTAATTGGCGAACGTTTCTTACGAACACCTTTGATGCGTCGGATTATGGTCGGCGGCGAAATGACTAAACTGACAGTGCAGGTCATGGTAGTCTACGGCCGCACCCGATGACACTGGTTTCCACAAAAATAACGAATGAAGAGGCTAATACAAGAATGTGAAGGATCAGGTCAACAGCCAGATTAGCAAAATGCTGAATCGGAAAGAACGAATAAATTTGCGCGTTTGATACAGACTGTATTATTTTTTTGGACACCTAACTTTTAGCGAATTTCGCAGACTAAATAAGGCTCGTGCAATGAAGCTGAACATTTCTAAAAACAAGTTATGTGGTCTCGGCATTTTTCAATATTAGTTAAGCATTCGAAATATTTTGACATTGCGGCCTAGGTCGAGTAGGAAATTTTTTTAGCTAACATTCCTATTAAGGTATTAATAAGAAGGATTCCACCGATATTGGCCCAAAGAAATAAACTATTTTTATATTAACATTTGCTTACGGCGTACAAAGATATGATACTGCCACGCGATTCACCGACCAAGCGCGCCTGTGACTGAGAGCTGATCGTCCTTTGATCCTACGCAAAGGGCTCGGGGTTCGATGCCTGGTAGCGAACGCGCTATATTTGTAAATGATGCGTTCAGGTCAATTCGAGAACCCTGTTGCTTATTCGGGGTTAGGATGGTCTACAAGCCAAGCCCTCTATGGCGATTTTCCAGAAGCCCACGCGTGTACACCCGAAGGCAATATGAAGGTGAATACCTTAACTGGTTTTTTGCCTGTTTTACGGCTCCCTAAAGCTATATTAACTCTCAACGTCTCAAACGGTACGTGGCTAAGGGTCTATACATTGCGTTCTAGCCCTCTTCTAAACAGATCTTGTTCCAAAACTTGCAGGAGCGTCAAAAACAAGAAGAAGGCATGTTCACCTTCATGTCGCTCACTGTTGTACATAGGGGTTTCGCGTAGCGAGCCGCAGTCCGTCTCGCCCCAATGTTCAGTCCTACTGTTTCGACGCCTCCGACTCTAGTTTTTTTCTATTTTGTTTTTTGGGCACAAGTTCGCCCCACTAAACGTTTAGTTTGCTTCAGTTTTCGTCGCCTTATCAGTTGTCGTTCGTGACAATATAAGTGACAAACCCGTCAAACTGAAGTTTGGCTTTTGTCTTCCGTGAAAGTGGCAAAAGTGGTGGTGAAAGAGCACATGAGATGTTCGTCGGAAAGTTTGACTGAAATCTTACGCTACGTGCCACTTCATGGGCCTGCGTAGATATATCTCTATTTGTGTCAAGAGATGCTCTTCGAAAATGCCGGCGTCGCCAGTCACTAAAGGTAAAACTTTATTCGCCATGATCAACGGTGGAATCAAATCAATATTAAGCGGACTTTTTTGCGTTAAAAGTTTAGGACGTTGCAGACACTCGTGAGAGTTAGAGCAGAGTATGAAAATATTTTCCGTACGCAAGAAAAGAAAACAAGCATCCTCATCAGTGCTTTTGTGTCGAGCCAAAACTGCATTTTAGATTGGCAATAAAAACGACGGTATTTTCGCGAATTAAAATAATTTGCGTACGTTATTCTAAAACACGGTACACCTAACTTGTCAGTGACAGTTTATTGCACGCGAGGTCGCAACATTCGTGATAAAACAGATGAGGTAAATTTAACTCGTTATCAAAGACAGTCAATAAATTAGATGTAATACTGTCGAAGTGGGACCCATGACGGTTTAGTTTCATAAAATGCACAAGAAATCCGACCAGCCAAATATTTATATTGTCACGAATAAAAAGTGTTGAGGCGGCGAATAGCTGAGTAAACTGTACGTTTAATGGGACGAACTTGTGCCCAAAAAAATAAAAAGGAAAGAGGAAATAAATGCAGAGCGCCGCGTGCATCAAAGTCGGCGTAAGAGCAGGGTCGAACGCTAGGGCGAGACTGACTCCGCTTGCCATGCGGAGTCCCTTATGTACCCTCGTGGGTTTCTGGAACATTCGGCGTAGAAATTCCGGCGCGTAAAACATTCGGAAGTCGATCAGACAAGAATGTTCTCGAACTTACGAAAACGCCAAGTTGAAAGAATAAATAAAAGAACATTAAAAAGGCTGTAACCGAGCCTAGACATACCGCGTGACAGTCAAGCGCGCTAACCTTTCGACCACGCACGCGCCGCTCATCGACGCGCGTGGAAATATCACGAACACGTACATATAGGACTGATAATATTAACACACAAGACGCCTGGTGTTGACGTACCATTGATCCTAGCATCAGATAAAATAAAAACGTTCCTTGCCTATCTTCTCTCTGAGTTCTCTCATACAGTCAATAGAAACACTTTTCGATTTAATATGAGTACAGCGAACGAGACTTCAGAAAACAGAGAGTCTCCTGAGGCTGACGATTCTCGACAGATTCCGATCGTAAATGCGCTCTCATAAATATGCGCGGTTTTAATTGAGATGTTTGCGCCACTGTCAGTAAACGTACCCGAGTTATCCTAAGTAATCGACCTTTGAGCCCTATGTTCAAACTTAGTCATCTACGTAATCAATTTGCTCAGTGCTAACGCGGATCCCTGTGCCTGAATCGCATGCCGAAGTTGCGCGGATAATGTGCACAACAGCAGAAATTGCGCACATTATGATGCAATGCAATTAGGTACTATATATATATGCGTACTAAATGTACAGACTAAGGAAAGAAAGCGCCCTTAAACGCGATGAAAAATACGAATAAAATGTATCCTCCAAGGCACGGAGGGAAGAACGGAGCAACGTGTTAAAGGATATTGCAACAAAAATTTCGGTGCTTATTTCTTGGTCTATTTGTGTTCAAGGGAGCAATATCCCATCAGGCACACCAATCGCTTGCTAAAAAAACGACACGAATATCATTTTTAAAACGAATTAAACGATTAGAAAAGAGAACCTGTTGGATGTCGCTAATATATTGTTTGTAATGCCCGTCTACGACCCTTGATAGGTAGTGACGATGCCTGTCTCGCCCCCGGCCGCCACGAGAGAAGAAGAACTCTCTTTTCTGTGTCCCAGATGTCGCTGCTATCTCTACACAAGATTATAGAGGATTAACCCGTCACTCAAAATTCATACAAAAGTAGCTTTGGGTTTAGTTGCGATGGCCCAATCGCTGGCGTGCTTCGGCCACTTCGGTGGCTGGAACGGCTAGGATATTATCTCGACGTCAGCCTCGCCGCACCTTTGCTCGTCCCGAGAGAATCTACGTCACGACAGCGTTGGATGTCATGTACTCTCTGCTGGCTGCCCTCTGAACACTTGCAAAAATGGGCCGTTTAAACGAAAAATACAGCCGTCAGGCTCAAAACAGAAATGTGTGATTGACATTTACGGATGTTGTAGATCATATTCTACTTATTTCTTAGCCTTACAGGTATATTTCAAATTTAGTTGAAGTATCCCTTTGAAGCTATCTAATGGAGGTCCTGCCACGTGATTCCAAAATGGCAGCGCCAACGCGGCTAAGGATGAAAATGTCTATAGAGAAAATTGAATTGGTGCACAAATCCAATTCAGGTCGTGTAACATAATTTGACGTCACGCGGTCATGTCATGAAGTCACGTGTTTATGTGACGTCAGGTAACGTCATTTAATCTAAAATTGTAATTACACTTCAAATAAAGCTCCCCTCCAAAATTTAGCGGGAAAAGGCTTCTCGTGTGACATTAACCTAACGTGATCTCATCGCATGACATAATGTGACATGACGTAACGTGACGTTACCTGAATTGGAGTACAACGACACACCTTCATTTTCTCTCCTAAGTTCATCGGGAAGATTATGAGCGGGCAGATGGGCGTTCAGTCATTCTGGATGTAGGTGTTTCGGTTCAAAAGTGAAAACCATACTTTAAAAGAGAAAGTGAATTGAGTCAGTCATTCACTGCTCAGTCAAAGGGGATAATTCTAGATGTCTTAAGAACTTGGACAAATGGATGATCAATGAATATGAAAGAAATATTCTTTCATAGTCATAACTATAGCTATTGATTTCATTAAGTGAAAAAGTATCATTGCACCTACCTTTGTATGGACGGCATCCAGGTAGAAAAGAAACATCGTCGATGGAGATGTAGGCGGCGTCATTGGTTGCTTCGTGAGTCCCTATGAAGAACACCTGTACAGGCGGTATATTGTGAACGGGTAGTTATATCCCTAGATTCGGACACCAAGAGTACTTTACTTAAATATCACATACAAAGGAAACATTGCGAGGTACAAGCAAAACACCGTGTTCATCGTCTTCTGTTTATTCAGTATGATCACCCGAATGAATTAGCAGCTCGGCTATTTGTTGCCTCTTATTTCAGGGGAGCGATACTGTAGTTTATCGTGCAATAAAATTTCAGCAAAAAATATATTAGGAGACTATTACTCTATTAAGCAGCCCTCAGGGAACCGTTATTGGATTCCTTTGATATGTAATGTATGTAGATATGTTAGCGATCAGGAGATTTAAATTGGAAAACAAGTCAAAAGCTCGTAGGTGGCCTCTGACCCTGGCTGCTCCCAGACAGAAGTTGCTATACGGTTTCTGGAGAATCTCCGAGCCCCCAAGACGTGGCCTCTCTGCCGTGAAACCCGAGCCGCGCGGCGCGCGGGCCTGCAAGCAAGAGTTTCGAAGCGATCGCCCTCGCCGGGAAGAGCATTCCTTCCGAGACGGCGAGCCCGACGCACCGTTTTGCGGACGGCTCATTCTCATATATTTCCTTATGTAATCAGTGTAACCTTTTAAAATTTAATCTGAAGAAGCACTTAAAAGGAATCGTACTAGAAATGATTATTTAATTGGACCGAATATTCCAACACATATGTAATCTCAACAGTTAGAAACTTTTTTATAGTATGCATCTGTTGGTCGAAACTTTGGTCTTCTTGCAACGTATATATTGCCACGAATGAGAGGGACAGAAGCGGCAAACATCCGGTTTCAAACTGAACATTTATTAAAACAAACTTTTGCACAAAAAAAAATAAATAAAGGACGAGAGTCGAGAAAGATGAAATGCCGGTGGCGAGTTGGCGGCGAAGCAGCAAGCGATAGAGAGAGATTGAATCGACAAGGTCATGAGCAGCTCCTTATCTAATGTGAGTCGGCATCTCGAAAATTTGGACCGGAAGGTGCGAGCGTCTAGCGGTCGGGGTGAGTATGAACAGGTGTTTTCGAGAGAGACAAATTAGAATGAAGTGACAAAAATTACGTCCCGAGTAAAAATAAACACGAATCTTCTAGAAGCCCATGACCGAGAGTCGCTTGCTGGGCCCCGCGCGCGACATTATTCAAAGCATGACGAACCGACATAAATATCGTGCATTAAAGTTCAGTAGCACAAAAAATGGCTTTTGATTTTAACGAATGTAAATATTTCGTCTTTCCGAAATATATACATTACTTAAACTTTGCATCACCTTGCTAATAACCCAGTAAGCAGTTGCTTATCACAGAAATACCTGTAAATTAATCGAACCACTGACCTATAAGAAACTACTCGCTTAATCTTCGTCACTGCCGATGCTAACCGTGCTTTCAGATTAATCCGCCAAAATCTCAGACTAGTCACAATCTCAGTAAAAACACGAGCTTACACACGGAAGTAAGATTTACTCTACACTGTTTCGCCATATAACAGCCGTCGAAAGCGGCGACCCAAGCGAGTCAATTAGCTTGTCGAAACAATTCACGTGATAACATATCGGTGGACTGCTCCTTCTGCTAGGACCTGTCAAGTGCTTCGCTCTATTGTTCTTATTGCCTGGAGGAGAGCGTAGCATTCATTATTTTCCAACGTATGGTGAAATGATGTAAAGAACACGCTTCTTTTACATGGCCTTCAGGGCAGTCCTTTTTACGAACGATATAGGATACGTTAGAAATAGTACTTCGTTTTGTTTATTGCCGCTACTCTCTATATACTAGAATTTCGATCACATTAATCGTCTAAAGGCTAGTAAATTCTTCTGTCCGCTACAGAGGAACGGGGCTCTCACAAATTTCTCCCAATTTGTTATGACAACAGCAGTCTCCAAAAATCTTGGTATTACTTCTTCACCGTATATTTTTCTAGATTTTGAACATACTTTTAAAATATGTTCAGGCATATTGTTCATCTGATGAAAACGCACATGAAAGTTCACTCTTATTATTTGTGAACTTTCATGTACCTTTTCGTACTCGTAGATTTCTTTTGCAATTTTACCCAAATACACCATACCATGCCTCGCCAATGTCTAGGATCCAGCACCTTTATAACTAGCTTTCTTTTCCTGATCTTGACATTTACGCAGATACGTTTTTAAAAATGTTGAATCATTTATAGAGTGTGAAATTTTGTTTGCTTTTCTAGCATTGTGTTTTTTATTTTAGCTTTTTGTGTTATATGTAACGCCTTGATATATGTGTATTGCGTTTGTTAATTTTGTGGCTAGTATTGATTAACCTGCGCCTCAACCTGTGCCTCAACAGACAGATGCATCTTTAATGTGACGGTTATTTTGTTTATAGTGAACCAATAAGTAGGCCTTCGCGGACGTTTTTGGACAATACCAGAAAATAAAGTATATTATTATTATTATTGTTTCTTAGATTATAATTCGCTGTAAACAATTCAAACGCTCTACCTGGCCATATTGCTTCCCCAGATGATCTGAATAAATATTAGCATACAGTTACTAATATGTTCTTATACTCTTAACTATATTACATAATGTTTTATTGTTGTATTTATGTTGAAGGTCCGAGAGTTCCTATATATATATATATATATATATATATGAGGCAGAGTAGTCTGAGAACAAAACACAGGGAAATCTAGTATGTCAAAGATCCGTACTTTCGGTGTTGCTATGCTAGGAATTTCTTGTGTGTATTACGACAGTTTCGGCGAGAAGCTGGGCTTCGTCAGGACACCACAAAGCCATAAATAAGTAAATAAATAAATAAATAAATAAATAAATATATATATATATATATACAGAGAGAGAGAGAGAGAGAGATAGATGCAGGGTGACGGCAGAAAACAAACCAGGAGGATTTTATTCGACGTTTCGACCTGAGGCAGGTCTTCGTCAGGTTCGACCTGCCTGTCGAAACGTCGAATAAAATCCTCCTGGTTTGTGTTTTATCGTCACCCTGCATCTCTTTTATCTACGCCTTCGGCCTCCAAGCCTACATGCCTATATATATATATATATATATATATATATATATATATATATAATATTGTATGCCGATCAGATCTGCACTTAAAAGAAAATAAATAATGCTTATGATGATGACTAGAAATTAACACTGAATGAGGTTAAACGCACTAAGATATAACTATTCTGGGAAGCCGGAGTCTTACGTGCAATATTTTGCAAAGCGACTGAGCCTATGATGATCTAAATTGTGATAGCAAAATTACGGGTTTATTGTCAGAGGTGTCACAACAGTTTTATTAATTTAGATAACACAAATGAAGATTCTCTTTTACAGACTAGTTAAAATGCTATTTATTATTTAAAAAAAAACAAGAGACCTTGATGTGCTGCGAATATAAATAAAATATTATAATAAAACAAAAACCTGAAAATAAGAGCTAGGAAAAGGGTGGAATATGGTTGTGACATTGTCAAGAAAGCTTAGCCATATAAACCTTATGTTTTCCTTAACTGCATGCCTGTGTTAATAAATTTGTGAACTTTCAGAGGTGGAACAAGAAATAAAATAATGCGCTTACACAGGGTGAATTAAGAGAGTACCGCAAAGCCATTTCAGCCTTAAAAGGTGATTTGAAGTGCCAGCAAAATAAACGTGAAAAAAGGGGTGATGAGACTAATAATTGTTAGCCAAATATTTTTTCTTTAGAACGAATTGAGCATAAGCTATTTGATTTTGGCTAATGTTTGAGAATAAATTAACTTTCTTAAAATAAAACTGTACGCAAAACAACTAAAATGAGCAATATAAAAATCGTAACCTGGTGAGAATCAAAAGACAAACAAAGAGGCCGAAATCCTCTCTTTCTGCCTTTTGATTCTCACTCATTCTCAATTGAACTCTTAGGAAACGACTACGAATAACCCACGCTTTATTCGTGTGTATCACCTCGCTTTCACCATATACGCTGAACTGCGATCAGTTAAATGACCGCTCAATTAGTTTGTGTTGAAGGAAATGTTCTTGCAGGAAAATTATTTTCGACAACTGTAAGGAAACCCTCTGTTCAGTGGTACGACAATAAAATTAAACTTCGTGGACTACTTCAGTATTAGTTTAACATAAGGGTTTTCAATTGTTTAACGCGAGGAATCCTTATCTGCCTCGGATGGCAGCCGAGACAATCCTGCAGATCTCGGAACTGATGCAATAAAGCTGCACACACAGTGTTCGGTCTATGGTAATGCATCAATGGGGGTTCCGATCGGCTAAAACAATGCTTGAACTGGACAGCCCTTCGCTATTGACAGTAGCGGTCATAGAAAATTGGGAAATAGGGAAACGCACGAGGGTTTTGTGAAAAACGGCTGAGTTGCTAGAAAGTCATAGTGAAAACCGAGGCTTTAGCAAAAAAACAAAGGACATCTCTTACATACCTGGAATGGTTTATTGTCGGTAAGGCTCACGAATCCCTTCACAAAGTGGAAGAAGCCACTGGGGTTTTTTGTATGCCAGACTCTTTTAACCGGCCCATTTTTAGCATATCTGAGACCTACGGTGAGCGTGGACGGAGCACCGTTGTATATCACGTAGAAAAATGTGACCTGTCGGAAAAAAAAAGCGTGAAAATATATCAACCACTTCAATTTATTTTCCATGTGATGCAATTTAATGGAGTGCCTTTTTGTTTATGCACAAACTTTTGACGGGACCTTTATGGTTTATATCGGTTTGGTATAATAATATTCCACGGAAGCAGGGACGGTATATGCATTTCCTAGTACTTGAGAATATTCAAGGCCCTCAAGTGATGCCAATGGTCTCGAAAAATTTAGGGGATCACGTAGACAACAACAACAAACATGATATTGATTTTTTTGTGGAGCCACAACACTTTTAAGCTCAAACGAGTCAATCATAAGCTCGATTAACTTTTAAGGATAAGTTATAATAAAATTATAGAACCTCGAGTAATTAGAGGACGAACAGTGGTCTTCTGTAGCTTCTAACAGGCTAAGGAAGAAAGAACATGGCTTATCGAGCCAACAACTGCTGGCTTTTTGTCTGCTTTCCGGCACCTGTTCTTGTATAGGAAAAAAAAGAGAGCGATTAATTGATTGAATATCGCCTTCACGATTCTCGCTTTATGATTTGTCTTTTGGCGTTCTTATCGCCTAAAGCCGCAACCTTATGACGCAGAGAAAGTTGTCTGCTTCTTTGCAGGGGTTCCAGTGCCATCGGAACGGCGCCGAGCTCTGGTTGGCTTTGATTGAAAGGATAGAAGGTAGGCCTGAATGCCAGACGCCTCGAGGTATACCCACTACTCTGTTCACTCAGCCAATAGGAGCTCGGTGTTTTGACACCACCGCAACCCCTGTGCGCCGTATTGACTGCTGAACAATGATAAGGTTCTCGGGTCTCATAACTTCCTGCATTTTACGAAAGGCAACTCCGCTCAATTTCGAAAATTTCGGGATTATGAATGATTTCAGAATAAAAGGCAATTATAAGAGGCACTACGTTGTTTTTTTCGCGAAAGTTGATATATATGTTGCTAAATCTTAGTTTAAACACGAGCAGAAACCTAAACAGAAAGTTCGGCTACATTGTGCGACATTGGCCTCTTGCCGCCATAAACATAGCTACCACGTGGTACAAGCGCTTACGCGATCCTCTACGCGACGACGGGCGTGGTACGGGCGGGCGTGTGCGAGGCGCAAGCGTCGTCTGCACCACATTCTGCACCATGTTTTGGTGTCTACGATAATCGGCGACATCTGCGTAACTGCTGCATCAGTCTGCATCCATCGTGTAAATGAAACTCCGAGAAACATTGATCACGAACGGCGAGACGGCGAGACGACAACGGCGGTTGTGAGGCGGGAGACGGGGCTGACGGCGTAACGGGCGGATGGCTCCCAAGGCCTAGAAGCGAGCTGCGCAAGCGCATTACGCCAATCGCGTCGACAACTCTAAGCACCGAGAGGAGACGCTGCTGACGACACCAGTTATACGCTTGATGGCGAATAATAATAATAAAAAAGTAGCAATGTTGATAACGCTTAGCTCAATGTTGGCTACGCCAACACCGTAGTCTTAACTGCGCTGTTGAGTGCGCCTCCATTCGAACGCTAGACTCAGCCGATTTCGGAAACTTTGCGTGTTTCAAAGTTCTTTAGACCTTTTAGATCGTATATAGACAAAAGTTCGTTGTAAAAATTGACATGTGGTCTTCCTAGGCAATACTAACAAAGAGTGCATTGTTTTCTTTGAAAAAAAAAACTATTCCTTTAAGCTGCCAATTGCTTTAGGATATATGCTTAATTAACAGATATTAAATTATTATAATTTGTTTCTGATCATTTACAGTAAGCTACAGCATTTTGCCACATTTATTTTTAATGGAGCAAATATAACTAGTGAAAACATGTTCTTTGCTATCCGAACGTGCTTATTCCAGCAGCAGCTTAAGGTACAGTTTACAACTGGCTTGATCATTATTGTAACGAAATGAATGCGAATATTTTTATTTTCATAGGTATTCATAAGGCGTATACAACTGAAACGTTTCCTGTCTGCTTTGTGAACAATTCAGCTTTGCCCGATATTTTGGAAACTCCTCAAGCTTCTTTCTGAAAACACTTGAAAAACGCCACTACTCTTCAGTTTTACTTTACTCAAATGTACTTTAAAAAGAGCAACAACAAGAGCAATGCCTTTGTTATTATGTACCTCATTGCCCCAGGCTCAAGCCAGTCCTCATACACTGCATGAAACGGTAAGTACAAACACGAGAGCTACGCTTTTCTAGTTTCTAACCTTGGTATTAAGTACAAATTAACAAAAAAAGCCTATACTGGTGCTTCTAAGAAGCACATTACACTAACAATTATATCTTGATCCGGAACTTTCACCCTTCAGAAAGAAAAACAGTTAAAGTTTGCTGACAGAAATAATTTGTATTGTAGCATACCCAAAATCTCTTGGTACTCCGTACAGAAACATCGCCCTATCTTCAACTCGATATGAAACACAGCACAGTACCAACGCCTTATTGAAGCAGTCAATATCCCATGATTGATTTTTCCGATGTAACATCCAAATTTAAAACATTTATATCAAGAGTATATGGATTCTTGTATTATATTCTGTAATGCATTTACACGATGTAATTCATATCGGTTTTCTCACTAAGGAAGAACTATGTCTCGACTTCACGAAACCCAGTTCAGTTTGAGCGAGTCGAATAGCTTCGAATTAGCTGCTTACTTTAATTCCATAGCAAAGCTATGGAATTGGAGTTCATGTTATTTCCGGTGCAGCTCTCAGGTAATCACGGCTTCTGATATACACATTTATTATGTCGTGAGTGCAGGTGTGAAACGTTTCTGGGCTTTGGAGTTGGATGAAAGGTAAGAAGATATTCGATAGAAAAAAAAGAAGAAAAACAAGATATGAACCTATACAAACAATATTTCATATTACCATATAAAAATCAAATTACATATGAAATATTTTACTACGAAAAATGCTCAACTCAATTTAATGTTTGGCCATGGTTTACTACCATACTTAACCCGTCAGATGGCACATAAATGGTAAATGTTTTCTCCATTTTTAAAAATAAAATTTTAACTGACGATTATTTTCATTAAGAACACATGTCACACATTTCCGTAAAATTATCTAGTGTGTTTTGCTTATATTACGTGTGAATAATAAGAAAGATTGCCTTGAACCACTTAGAGTTTTGAAGCCCACCGATGAAGCCACTTAATATCCTCTTGATATAAATTTTTTGTATGGTACTATAGATATGGGTCATCTGAGCCCATATCCAATTTTTAAGAGGAGGTGATAACTCACGAGTTTGAAAACGCACTCACCGCACAGAACCCCCCGCCTTGAAGGACAGGCCCGGCAATCTCGGATTCCACTTTTACAGATCTCGAACGTAAGTGCAAAAAATAACCTGAAAATATATGCGTTCAATACTTTTCTATAAATTAACTCAAGCTCAAATTTGTTTAAGAAATATCTCACGTTTTTAAGGTTCACTCCCTTAAAACAGTATTCAAAACTAATTCAATGCCTGGTCGTTTTTTTTACCAGACAATGAACAAAATATAACAAAATTCCTTATAATAGGCGATTATATAGATTTACTGTTTTTGTAATAGATGCTAGCATACCAGGAAGAGCGCTCACAATGACTTTAAAGGGGGGTGCTACGACTTTAAGTTTGAAAAAATTCGCATCTCGTAAGTTTTACGTTGTTTCTCATGTCCCGAAAAATTAAGAAAAAAACTCCTGTATTAAAAAAAAAAATGTCACGATTCCGCTGTATAGTCCCAAAGCAAAAGTCGAGCTTACCCCCCCCCCCCCCCCCCCCCCCCCCCCAGTCACGAGTTGCGCCGAAGTATCTACGGCAAAAAGCATTATCTTTCTCTTTTTTTTACACCACAAGTAGGACAGTCATGAGAAACCGCTAAAGTTGAGGCTTGGGCGAGTAGGTACATACTTCGGAAATTAAAAACAGCGCGGAAAGACGAGGACCAGACAAAGAAGTGACACGGACGTAGCGCTGTCACTTCTTTGTCTGGTCGTCGTCTTTCCGCGCTGTTTTTAATTTCCGATGAGAAACCGGTTTTCTGTTCTTTGCTTCAGAAATGTCAGAGGGCAACTCCCCCAAATATTTGGCCGAAGTCCGGAAATCGTTGCACTCCCCTTTAACAAACTGCACAAAATAGTATATTTTTGTTTGGGCGTTTAATTACGAAGAAATGTTCAACCCAATACTAAAATTAAGAGGTTCACTACACTGTCTGATGGCCAGAGTATCGAACCGAAATTTGTATCTGATTGGCTCGGGTTCGGGTTCACGGCTGTCGGTTCAGTTCCGGTTTAGTTGCGGGGAGCAAAAATAAAAGTTAAGACCAATCTGAACCTGTTGGAACCGGTTTGAAGTGCTAAATTGAGAATATATTTTTTACGCTGTTTCGGCAATATGCATTATTTCCGCCGTAAACTTTTTCATCGTTGCTACCATCCAGTTTTATCTTCGGGTGCAAAAATGAGAATTTTCGCTTTTTAAGTTTGACACAACAGCAAAGTAAATAGATTAACACTCAGAACATCTTGTATAATTTACTCAACATCCATTTGTTTACCTCAGTCTCACATATTTTTACCCGAATGGAAAGGTTGTCAAAAAAGTGCTGCAGGTTACATAAAATACCCCGGCTTGGTGTTAATTCGCGTTTCAGAATTAAAATTTAAATACTATTTGTGTTCTTGAAGTAAGATATTAATTACAGTGCATAAAATCATGGAATCGGTACCTTGTCGTCATCTATACCGTGAAATCTATTTTACGAAATACGTTTTACAATGCATATGTTGACGCAGCACTGAGATAAAAGCAATCATATTTTTAAACTGTCACGGAATTTTCAGGAGAAGCATTTCCAGTGTATACCTTTTATAGTAACACTGAGCGGACATATAAACTTTTGTTTTCCTGACCAACATTGTTCACAGTGAGCACCGTGATGCTGGTGCAGAATCATGCAGAAAGGGGTGATGGAAATTGTTCACCCTAGTATATAAGCGCCTTCGTAGTCGGATAAAATCTCGCCTAAGATAGCGCGTACCCAAGGGAGCATTTTCTTATGCAGGATAAACTAGCGTGCATGGCTGTTGAGGTTTGTTCTTGGCAAGACGTTAGTCAATTCGATTTGCAAATAAGCGTCGCCCGTGCTGATTGATAGTTTTTGTCATAAAAGAACAACGTAGTATTTCCAGCTCTACTCGACGTGGCCGCTACTTAATTGATCACTTTTTGACGGCCTGCGTGCGTAATGGTCATAGTTCCACCAGGCGCCCCTGCTTGGTCTACTCTTTCTAGCCGTCAGACACATAAAATTGCTTTTCATTAAATAAAAGAAGTAATAGCAGAGTGTCATATATTTGAGAACTTTTTATGTGCCGGAATAGTTCTTAAATTATATTTGAAATCAGAACTTAGTTTCAGTCTCTCCCAAATCACTTACAGATGTGTTTGGCGAAGATAAAAACGCCGGAAACGATAGGCAGAACATCCTCCACGTGATTTGGGACTGCATTTACTCATGATATAAATATTCAAGGTGATTGGCCCTCCATTTATGTTGTCCAATCTTGAGCCAGTAAGTAAATATATTTTATTATCATCTTTAATTTCGAGTCTATGAAGTTCGCATAACCGCTTGGGACCGACACGGGAGGACGATACTCAAAAATACGCGAGCCTTTAAGTCTGAGGAAACGCTCCTGTCTTTTTTTGGCTCCTTGGCAGTGGGAAAAACCAGTTCGTGGCACACGGAAAAAAAGACTATGCTCACATAATAGATCTGAAAACAAATACAGGAACCGTGCAGAAAGCAAAAAATAATAAATGGTATTCCTCAAAAACTAAAAAGCAATCTGCACTTTAACAGCAATTTTTTCTTCTGCGTTATTTTCACTGATTGGACGTATTGATCAATCAACAAGTTACTATTAAGAATACACCCAGTGATTAAAATCACTGCTTTTGCTACAGTGATTCGAAATAAAGATATTCTGATATAAATCAAACAAGTTTGATTTAAATGTGATTTAAATCCAATAATTATAACTTCAACAGAATGAATTTGATGTGTTTGTTTATTGCGAATAAACGTCACGACTTTTTCTCCCTTGCTGTGGGCACGGCCCCCCTCCGAGAGAACGAATCGGCATTGCACAGTTGACTCTTTCTCCTGTTCGCGCTGTGGCGAAGGACAGTTCTGCCACCGACGCTCCAAGACACCGGATTCGCCAAGACAGCAGAGACGGCCGTTTCCGCTGTTCCGAAGGTGGTCAAAGTCGATAGATGTCGGGAGACAAACCTCCTAAATGGACCTTTTTGCTGTAACTAGTGCCGTCTAGGAATTCGTCTTCGAACTACGAATGAAGGGCGGCCGAACTTGCATCCGCCCGCTATAATACATACGCACTGTTCCGTTGTATTTATCCTCTTTGCCTTTATGCCCCATACTAGCATATGCTTAAACAATAGCTAAGAAAGAAGAAATCCGCACAATGATATGTGCTGAATGTGTTGGTTGACCGGAACTTTGACTTCCGAAAAATGGCGACAGCGGGAAGCAAGGCTAGGCAACAAATTTACGCATGCGAAGAAGCTTACTGGGAAAAGGTCCATTCAAAAAGAAAAACCTCGAGGATGTGCGCGTCCATCCGTTCCTTCTACGCACATGCTGTCGGCGCCAGGGTCATCGGATTTTCGCGGAGTAAGGCGCATTTTCCAGCAGAGCATTTTATATCGATGCTTCCGCTTTCTTCTCGCAACTTGTAGTGCAAATGTACCTCCTAAACCACGTCACCCCCATCCAACAGTCGGAAACACTCTGAAATCTAAGCACACTACAAAGTGTGGGCATCGACTGGGCATTTCGAGGGGCATGTTAGAGGCCTTTTAATAATGGGCCTACCCGGGATAATGAATAAAATGCGCGCACAAACCTCCGTTCATTCGAAACTTTGTACAGATGAAATGAATGGTCGCGAATTACCTTTGGGGAGTCCAGTGGTGTGGTCTCTCGTGGGAGATAAGCCAAGATAATTTCCCGGACGCGAACGAACCCACTTCAAATAGGCTGAGCGATGTTCCGAAGGAACAATGGGCTTCCAGTCGCAGAACGAGGTGTCGAAGTTGCATCCCATGCTATGGTCTCCTAAAGAAATCAAGAAAACATGCATGTTTCGTAGTCATATATGGATGACACAAAAAAAGGGTAGCAGTTACGTACTTTACGGGTATGGAAATGCATTTGTACCCGTCCCGTATTTATGACACCATATAAAAAAAATCATACATGACATATTTTACGCATTTCCCTAATGAATAGCGGGCAGGTCGATTTGATGCACTGCCATGCTTATCTAGCATATGCTTTCAGTCGGAGGGTGCACAAATGGCATTGGTTTGTCCTGTCTTTATTAGTTTTTATATTAACTTTATTTTAATTAGTTAGGTGTGGCGTACAGCCCCCACGCTATTTCTAGTATCTTATAAGTAGGGTATATCTATGAGTTAAGACCGATATTATTGAGCCACTAAAATTCGAATCTCACCGACAAGCTATGCTAATTGCACCGACAAGCTAGCAATTTTCAGATTTTATTTTTAATATAGGTCTTTTGTACGGTAACAGGAGTCTTTGTTGTTAAAGAGAATATGCTGTTTTAGTACGAAAAGCGGAATTAAAACCAAGTATTCAATAATTTCTATATAGAGTATATAATATTGCCTTTGGAATACGCGATACAATGGTCAATACTATTAGTACCATAATGAAATAGTAAAAATTACGAAACCGAACGCTGTGAAACGTGGTTAGATATCAGACACTGTTTATATCCGAAAATGTTCGCGGGAGGTTTAGTAAGAGGGCCATAAATTATATAAAATGTTTTCTGAATTTTATGATAAAAATAGAATGTGGGTTCACGCGGGAACACTGGTCTTTATTGTCTTCGAGGCGTGTAAAATAACGCGGAATCTTAAAACTTACAGTACACTAGTGTGATCATGGTGACAAACACCGCAGTGCTCAGTATTTGTTGAGCTGCCAGACGCATCAAGTGGGGGTATTGCGCGTTCTGCCTGTCACTAAGGGTTTTGTGCAGGGCTCCTGCACACATACACTTCATGTGTATGGTAGCTAAACAGATTCTCCAATTCAATGTTCTCCTGGCTTTGTCAGCATAACGAAGTTTGTTAAACTTTTTGACTTAACAAACCAACTGTAAGCTCTCCGACTCCGAAACAGTCTGAAGTCAACATTTTCCTTCTAAATTCAGCGGAGATGTGTTAACGCTAAATTTAGCTGGTATTTAGTAGAACGTGATGTCAAGGTGCCTTGTTACGTACTGTGTCACGGGATATTATTGCGTTACGTGACGTCGCAGTGTCACATTAGCATAGCCCGCTGAATTTGTCGGGACGTAAGACCCCTAAAGAATGCAGCATGGACGGCGCAAAAGACGAGGACAAGGCAACACATCGTTTCATGGCAGCCTGTACATTTATTGGCGTTTTTCAACGATGCCGATTGCTTCAGCGGCGGCCTTACTAAAAAGGGAAGGGAAAGGAGAGAAAGAAAGTGCTAAAATTGAAGAGTCTTTGTCGGCAAAGTGACACGCGTGATGATTTGGCGTTAAACCACCCAAGTGGGCTGCAGTTGTCGACAAATGTACGAGATTTCGGTGCCGGAGAGGCTGACTGTGCGTGTGCGGTTGTGGGGGGGGGGGGGGGGGGGTAGGGAAGCCAATGTTATCCGGCGTTTGAAGTATGGCGAAGGGCCTCGGTTACCTCCCGGCCATATTGAGATCCCTGACCTCCAATTGTGCAGGTGCCATTGACCTCTCGATCGCAACTTGAGCAGGCGTTGACATGCTGGGCTATCGGTTGGACGGTTTGAACGGACGGGTTGGATGCAGTTTCACCTCGTTTACGTGCTCCCACAGGCGGTCACGGAGACATCAGCCTGATTGGCCAATATACTGCGCTCCACACGGAAGAGAAGTGGAGTAAAGGCGGTGTTGTCGGAGGCCTCGAGGGAACCGTCGTGTTATGGTCTGCAACTGTGGCACGGCGCAAGCATACCGCGAATTTTCTGCGGATGATTCGAAAAAGCAGACGACGCTTGTTGATGAAACCGCGACACGACGCGAGCGTACCACCGCAAAGTGCATAAATTTGGAATATAAAAAAACAATCGTTGAAAGCGCATATTACTTTAAACATTAATGCATGCATGACTTCCAAGCACCTCACCCATCTAAAACAGTTGTGACAACCGAGCCGCAGTCATTGCTAAATACAGATAGGAACATATTGAATTGAGTAACGCTCGAATTAAAATGGATGGCGCTAAAATTAAAGTGGGCACAACTTAATTTAAATTTATTAGAACTCGGACTAAATTGACGACCACCTGGATTAAATTGGAGTACAGCTGAATTGAACTTAAAAATGCTCGGTTTAAAAAAAATGCTGGCACTTAAAATACTATGACCGTGGAAACCTGTACCTCACATTTCCAGCCGCTCACGCGGCTTGGAAAGCGAATTAAAATTAAGGAAGGTGTCGAAAGCTAACTTGTGGTAATTTCATTTCCCAAACATTTACTGAACTCTACTTTAAATTGAAGAACATAGCTAACGCGGTGCGATCCATCGCAGAGTTCCATACAAACCAGAGCCCATCACCGCTGATGATCACGATGATGATGATTTTGAAGTTGTTTTCTTTGAATTGGGAGGTTGGAAATGCATTAAAACATAACAAAAGAAAGAACTAAAACTAAAAATTTTATCGCTTTTGTGTTCATTCCAACCAGTCTCCCAGCCACCTCCTACCCCTATCGGCTGAGGCGTTGCAGTTCACGCCGCGCTCACCGGGGCTTGCCGTCAAACCAGCTACTGCCGTGTCGGTTACCACACTTTGCTTTGTCCCAGATGTCTGGATTCTGAGTGATTTTCCCAGCAACTGATCACGGCGTACGGCCCGGCAGGCTGCTGTCCGTCGCCTTGGTCTTGCCACTAGTCCACTGGGTGCTTTGGATGCAGGGTTGGACATGAGAGCGCAATGTGCTCGATCGTTTCCGATGCTGATCTACATGCCCGGAATGAGGTTCATTCCACTCTCTGATCGAAGCGCTCTCGGCACATCAACGTTCGCAATCCTCCAGCACGTGCCTCAGGGACAGGGCGGTTGGCACTGCTGTTGTCATACAACGCGTTCTCCGCCGATATTTTATATTTCCAGAGACGGTAAAGATTCAAGGTTGACTTCGACCTGGCTCCTTTTGCCCATTACAGGGTCTCCCCTTAACGCGCTCTGTTCCGCACCTCCATTTCCCATTTCTGGTCTGTAGTGGCAGCGACGGGCACAGCGTGGAAGCCATATTTCTTCTTCAGCTCGTACTGTCACTGCATCCACTTGCTCTGTACTGCAGTCAAGGATATATACGCAAACAGACTCTTGGCCCACCGACTTAGGTTCATCAGTCGCAGCCGCCCGTCGTATCCAATTTTACTGCTTGCTTCTCTGGCCTCTCATATGCCGTCGCGCCAGCAAATCGTAAGGCGAAGATACCTGCCAAGCCGAAGCCGCCATGAAACAACTTTTTTGCAGCGCTGCGGTAGTCCTCAGTGGCCGACTTCCCGCCTACTTATCTTATATTCTGGTAGTGGCGCAGATTGGTGGTGAGGTTCTTTAGACTGAGTGTCGGAGTGCATGAAACGTGCTGGTGTGGGTCGCATTTATAAGGTGGTTAGTTGCTTGGCAGTGCAGTGGATGCACTTATGATATGTAGAGTGCCAACTTTTTCGAAAAGCTGTTAGGAGAGCCAATCGTTACATTATACGGAGGGTGGTCGCCAAATGACCAGGCTGAAAATATGTTTATACCTAAAAGCACAGTACGCGCTATGGAAGTCATCAAGGCGTTTCACAATGCTCATATCCGCAAAGAAGGCTGTCTTTTAGGTTTAAGCATACTTCCAGGGGTGTGCCACGAGAGGTTTGAATTGAAAAGCGCAGTGCCATTCCTTGTTTCAACACTGTAAGATCAGCCGCTATTTTACACATATCTCGTCCAAGTACGGCCGCAGCTATGAATGACGCAACGCAATTCACTTAAATTCGCGATTTGCAGGAACCTATTATTTTCAGCCCCATAATTGACCAAGCTTCTTCCGTAGAGTGCACCAGTTGGGACTCCGAGTGCGCTGGGGCAAGTGGACGCTAGAAATTTCCGAGAGCGCAACAAATAAAAGAGTAAGTGTTGAATGAATGTCATATGGGTGGACAGACTGCGGAACCACACGTAACCAACAATAGACAGCCTCTCACCGCAGTTGAGCTCGTCGCTGCCATCCCCGCAGTGGTCCACATAGTTACATACGTCAAGACGCGAGATGCAGGCTCCGTTTGCGCACCTAAAACGATCTTCGCATGAATGTTCCGGTTCTGAAGAGAAAAAAAAAACATGTTTTAAATTTTATAAAGTTGAATGCATATATTGCTAGATACAGTCCAAACTACAGCCATGGTTGGGTTACGGCGACTCAATAAGTTGGATGATTTAACGCACTTCCCTATTGAAAAATCTCATTTGTGTGAGAAGTGTCTGTGTCCCATAAACACATGAATCATACAAGATAAATAAGAACATAAGAAAACCACATAAGATTTATATAACAACTATATAAGATCTATATAAGACATAAAACAATATATAAGAACCACATAAGCAACTTATGAGAAGTTTTTATAAGTTGTTTTATGGTTCATACGTGTTCTTATATATTTTATGCAGTTTTTATATAGTTCTTCCGTGGTTCTTATTTGTCCTTATTAATCTTGTATTATTTATATGTGTTTATTGGACACAATAAACTTCTCATGCAAATGGATTTTTCATTTGGGTTATGATAGGAGACACTTAAATGTGTACACAGGATGTCGCAAAGCATCACTTACGAGGCAGGCCGCAATTGGCATACTCAATCGTGTCGATGACGAAGTATCCTGCATCATGACGGCTATCGATCCCTAAAAAGTTAAGCTGAAAAAAAATATGTTTGTGAGATCAAAAATGACTACACCAACGTTTGTGTAATGCTTAGACGGTAAAAGAAGCCAACGGAGGAATGCGAGAACAAATGTGTTTAGGCGGAAGAACACGCGAACTGGATTAATCCGCAAGGGTTGCGGTGAATAGTGATTATTCAAAACGCACAGCCATACAGACGGGAAGGAAATAAGGAGACAAACACTCCCTGAACTTACAATTCAAGTTTTAATCGTCAAGGCGCAGCCTTTATACACGACTAAACAAGAGAGCTCACACAGCCAACGACGTTCCACTGAAACCCGCACTATCATTGCGCATGCTGTCGTCATGAAAGGAAATACAATTCTTTAGCCGACAAAAAGGCCGACGAGGAGCTGACACACTCTTCCCCTAAGCGCACTATCGGCTCTGCCTCCAAACTCTCTCTGGTCAAGGCGTTGGCGCTTCTTCCAATGACAGTAGACTTTTTTTTTAAATTCTGCATGGCACCCACAGTCACGACAGTGAATTCCCAAGTGTCCTGATACTACCCTGTTTACATTGTAACAATGTTCTTTTCACCTTTCATTGAGGCATTTCCCCGCCTACGGATTTTTTTACCACAGGATAGCGGAATGGGATAAACAACGTTTTCTATACAACACACAAACCGATATTGATGCTCCTATGTACACTCCAGAGGCCTCCCGTAGTCTGATTGACAATTCTGCAAAGCTTAGACAACTTGTTCGGGGCAGAGATGACTACAGTGACGTCTACCCGCTTTCATAATATATTTAAGCCATGGGAAAGTCTATATAAATACAAGACATCTGCAACTTTGTATTGTTTTTTGTTTTTTTTCTCTAGGAGCGTTTTCCAAATTTGCACCGCGTTTTAATTGTTTTTTTTTTCTTCAACAAAGCACTTTCAACCGACGCTAATAGGTGTTCCGGAAAATCCGCTGTCCAAAGGCGGGAAACCTGAGTGTCAAAGCTCACCTGTGCTTGATGGAAGCAGGATTTCTTCAGGGTATTCGTAAAGCACAAACACACGATGCCCCTTTTTACCAATTTGAAATGGACGGATTGGTCAGATAAACGCGTCTTTGGTCCACGAGGTTCGAACGACCAACAAACGTGCGCTTTAAAAAAAATGAAGACTGAAGTCGAGAAAACGTATGGGCCCGGTGGCAGCCAACTGGTGAGTCAAAACCAATAGTGGTAGTTTTGTTTGATTTATACATTTGCCGAGAAACTAACTGCTTCCCTTTACTCTCGTGCCTTTCCTAAAGTTCCTGCAAAAGAAAAAGTTACCCGACCCTACTCTTCATGAAGGAAGACAACTTTCTCCCTCTTTCCCCTTCCGGTACACGGCGCCATTTTTGAGCGTGGCCGTGCAACACCTAATAGACACCTATGTCGCACGGATGGGGAACGAGTGCTGCGTCAGAGTTCGGCGGAAACTTGTCCGGTGGCAACACACGGGTTTACTGAAGGCCAACACACATCTTACAACTCCCGGCTCGCTCAAAAATGGCGTCGCCTGCAGGGAAATGAAATGTAAATATTTGTGGATGAAGGTGGTGTCAAGGAGGAAAGCTGGTTACTCTGAGCACAGGGCGGTTTGATGGTTAAAGTTGTGGTAGTTTTTGTTCTATGAATGCGTTGGTGTAAGCTTTTCGCGCAGCGGATGCGTTTTCCGGTCCTTGATAATTCTGTGCGAATTGAACGCTTATGACAAGTCACATTAAGCGAAGGTAGTAACGGCGCAGCAGCCAATTGAGATTCAAACAGCAGATAATTGAGATTCAAGCAAATTACGCTACTTCATTTAAAAAAAATTCAAATGTTTTCATTCGGTAATGTATAAACTATTGCTAAATCAATTAGCATCCGTAGGCTTGTTTAATGTACGATTAGTTTTAGGGCGGGACATATACTTAAAACATTGACCGTTCGGAATGCAACCTAGGAAGCAAGTTGAAGAAGGACTACGCACAATTCAGCGTTTTCTATGTTGTGTGGAGACTAAAATACCCTAAAAGCAAAATTAATAAAAAGTGAATTTTAGTGCAAATTCGCAAATGGACATTTTAAGCATCTTAGCAGGTAAGAGATTTTGACAAAATGGCTGTGTTACCAAGTAGCCAGGTATGTGGTAGAGCGATTCGTTGAATGATGAGAATAAATGAAACTGCGCAAAAAGGGACAACCGGAAGATGAACACACGCACACTGCTCTGCTATCTTATCACACGAGATTTACCAAGTAAATCGCACGTAATCATATTGACAAATATGTTTTGGGGTGCCCAAGATCTACAATACCGATTAGACAATTTTGTTTGAAAAGCATCTTCTGTATGATAATAAAAAAAAAAAACAATGCATAACTTGGGTTGCGAACGGCCTTTTAGAATACCTGCATGCGTCTTCGTAAAGTTAGAGAAATATTAAAAAAATACCACTTGCTGTACATAAAAATAGCTGAAAATTAAAAAAAGAAAAACAAAAAACGTACTGAGATTTAGCTATTTTGGGGATTTAATTTGAATATACGAGGCGATAAAAATATTCAGAGGAAACTGTTTTTTTTTATGGAAAGCACTGGCAACTCCCAAATATTAGTTAACGTTTTATTCGACGTGACTAAATCAGAAGTAGTAAACGCCAACAAGCGAATATCACGCGAGCAAGACCGTCTGGCCATCTCGCTATTGATTGCAGCAGATGAGCAACGATATTTCGTGACACTTAAGGCTCTCTCAAGCAGGGATATTTGCTCATGCCGGCTTATAAGTTAATTTCCACGTTTTCGGCATTTTTTTTTTGTTCGAGCTAGGGGGTGTCGTTTATGATTATTTTTACCACGAGTTCAATGTTTCTCGGTATTAAAATTTGTTCGGAAAAGAAACAATCAACATATATAGCGTATTACATTTAAGATAATTGGACATGGGCGTAAAATTCCCCATCGCCCCCATAACTCAGGCGTGACCTGAATTCTCGGAAAACGTCCCCGTGGCAATGAGAAAGAGACACGACGTGAACGTGTGTCATCTCAAAAGAAGATGTAGGCTCACAGGCGGACAGTTTTTGAGGGGGTTCTGTGTTCGGGGTCAAGGGAACCGCAGATAAACAGAATGCCTTCCTGAGAAGCCCGCGTCTTTCTGATTCAAGGAGCAGCTCCGATTCGAGGATTATCTGTTTGGCACGACTTTGGTAAAACCGACTCGGGAGTCAGTTTTCGAGGTTTATTGATATTTAGCAGAAAAAAAAGGAGCTCTGTATTTTTTTTTATCTCACGAAACGTAGTAAGAAAAAAATAAAGTCCAGCATTCGTGGAGCCTTAACAATTTTCCCCTTTAATAAAGATACCTAATATATATGTACACTGCTAATCACACTTGTCTATAACGCGCGAGCGTGCGGCTTTCTCCGGGGAGCGCTAGACTGGTGCCATTCGCGGTAACTAAGCTAGTCACGTGGCGCAACATGGAACGGCCTGCTTGAGGGGTGTCGTCCTGCCCACTGTATCAGCTGGCGGCGAACGCGGAAGGCTTTTTAAAAACATCATTGCTCGAACAATGAACAGAGTAAAGCATGAACGCGTATCAATGATGTCGTCATCAAAAAACGAAAATATATCATAAAGCACTTTATTTTTATCGCTTCTCAAGCTGATAGACTGGGCAGGACACCCCTCGGGCGGGCCGTTCTATGTTGCGCCACGTGACTAGCTTAGTTTCCGCGAATGCCACCAGTCCAGCGCTCCCCGGAGAAAGCCGCTCCCTCGCGCGCTATAGACAAGTGTGATTAGGACTGTACACTCTAAATCAATCCCGTGCGTCCACTTCCCCGCAAAACACTCGGAGAGCCAATCACGGCAACTTGCGGAGGCAGCTCAGCGAATGACGATGCCGAAACATCTGTTTAGACCAAAAAACGCAGTCTGAGTTGTGACATTAAGCAATGCAAAACGTCACGCTAGCTTTGCTTAATGTAACTACTCAGACTGCGTTTTTTTTTGTCTAAGCATATGTTTCGGCATCGTCATTTGCTGAGCTGCCTCGGTAAGTTGCTGTGATTGGCTCTCCCAGTCTTGTGAGGGAAAGCGGATGCATGGGCTTTTTTTAGAGTGATAGGTGCGTTTTAGATTTGATCAATGCCATCTAATACAGACGTTAACAATGCTTAGACTTGGGTATGGGCTAGTTGGTTGCACGTAGTTATATGTGCTGCGCTGCAAAGTTCTGCAGAACGTACGCGTGACCAGAAAGTGAAGGGAATCCGAAAAGTTACATGGAGATGAGGAGAAACACAGTGAACTTGAATGGGCGCCAGACTAACAACTGTTTATTCGTTTCTTTTTTCAACACTTTCATTCATGAGTTTTCTCATGCATGAGATTAAAAAAAAATCTGAGAAAAAAAATCTTATCATGAAGACATGTGACCTTTCGAAGTTTGTGGTGTTGTCTCCTATTCTGATAGATGTTCGGTTTCCGTGGTGTAAGCAGTGACTATGAAGCTGGTGCTAGTTTCGGCCTCGTTAGGCTATGTGGTGTCAGAGCAATTCAATTTTTTTTCGGTCAGTGCAATCGACGGACCACTGACGCACGTGCCGTGCTGTCCTGATGCCATGTGGAAGGCTTCTGCGATTTTGCGCTTGGTCCTATATCTTTTGATCTATCCAAGACTAAGGTAGTTCCGAATACCGCGCTCTACAGCTGCATCATGGAAAATGCGTTGCTAGGTTGCCGAGTGCTTGCATTTGTCCGCATGCATATTGATGTCCTGGGGGTCTCTCATTTAGGCACCCCCCCCCCCCCCCCCCCGGTCTGACCCATGTATAATTTCCCATATGACAATTGTATTTTATTGACGACTCCTTTTACGCATTCAACGACCTTGCATTTCTGTTGTACCGGACACGTCTATTGACCCGTTTGGTCGCCTTCCTCCTTGTTTACTTCTTTGCACAGTCCTTTTAGCTTGGAGCGGTCGGATAG